TCCGGCCCAGAAATCTTACTTTTGAAGCCACAGACTCAAACACATGTCCTTGGTTATGGTATAAGTTACATAAAAAAAACTAAACTAAAAATTTGTGCTGTTTCAGCAGGTGACCCCGAGTATGCCTGTTAAAGCAGAATTAGGAACCAAGTTACTTTGACAGCCTCAACTTTATACATAGGTCTCTTGGAAAGTGTATAGCTGTCTGTTGTAGGCAATGTCTGTTCAGGAGAGCCTAGAAGTTTCCATGAGTGCTGAAATAGACCTTCCTTATGACTGCAGATGACACAGTGACAAGCCCGAGAAACCAGAGTACGACTGTTTATCAAAATTCTTTTTTTAAGTGAGTAAAATACAGTTGACACAGCTTCAAGATCTCGGGGCCTGGGAGATATCTGAGTGGGTAAAAAAGCTAGCCTGCGAGACTGACTAAAAAGGCCAGTACCAGCATTCCTGGATTCCTAGGATTACTCTGAAGCTCAAGGCTCAGCACAGTAGCAGAAACAAAAGACACCTTGCCTCATGAAGATGGAAGGCCAAAAATTGACTCCAGAAAGTTGTCCTCCGACTTACACTAAGGCATGTGTGCGCACGCACACATACACACACACACCTTTGACACTGGTTACTAAAGATAGTCTTCTGGGGCCAGGATTGTAGTTCAGTATTAGAAAGAGAGCTGTTTAGCTTATGTGAGGTCCTAGGACTGAATCTCTAGCTTCAATCCCAGCACTGGAAAAAACAAAACCACAGAAGGCATTGTGCCATCTTTCCATTTTGGTTGGGTCAACATACTAACTTTTCTTATCTCTGTGTAAGTGTCAGGAATTGTTGGGGCTACTGCCTTCTGAGGGATTCTCTCAGCCTCTGGTAGTTTCTTCTCATGCATGTGCAGATCTGCTCTTGCCAAAGATCAATAGAACCCTAAATCAGGTCCCCAAAGTATACTCTTTATACCTCCTTCCACTCCTACGTACTGCCCAACAAAGTCCTAGCCACTTTGGCCTCTCCAATTCTGATTTCAGCTGTGACAAGACTGGGTCCACCTTCTCTGTGTAGCAGCCTGAACTTACCTCCAGGCAGCATGAAGCACCTGAAGGCTCACCCTGCTTCCCATCTCTTAAGCACACTTCCAACTCTTCTATTGCCCCGTGTCTGAAACAATTATGTTCTGTACTTTGTCCAGCTTTCCACAGTTCATAGTAGGAAATAAATCTTGTCCCAGTATGAGGCAACACTGGAAGAGGAAGTCTCCTCTAACGTGGAGGAAGAGGCTGGAGATGTTGGTGATCGGTTGGTTGAATGCTTGCTTTGCAGTCACAGAGCCCTTGTTGGATCCTCAGCACTGCACTAAACCAGGCACGGTGGCACACAACTCTAAATCCAGATGTGAGGCCTGGAGAGATGGCTCAGAGCTTAAGAGCACTGGCTGCTCTTCCAGAGGTCCTGAGTTCAATTCCCAGCAACCACATGGTGGCTCACAACCATCTGTAATGGGATCTGGTACCCTCTTCTGGCATGCAGGCATACATGCAGGCAAAATACTGTATACATAATAAACAAACAAACAAATAAATAAGTCCGGAGGTGGAAGCAGGAGGATCAGAAATCTGAGGTCACTTTCTGATACCTGGAATATACATGTGGTGCTTTGAATGATACTGGCCCTCAAAGACTCATATGTGCATGCTTAGTCCCTATTAGGTGACCTATTTGAGAAGGATTAGAATATGTGACCTTGTTGGAGGAAGTGTGTCACTGGGGGTAGGCATTGTTTCAAAAGCCCATGCCAGGCCCAGTGACTTTCTTCCTACTGCCTATGAATCAGGATGTCAAGCTCTCAGCTACTGTTCCAAGAGCATGCCTGCATGCATGCCATTCACCATACTGCCTGCCATGGTGAAAAAGGACTAATCCTCTGAAACTGTAAGCAAGCCCCCAATTAAATATATTTTTTAGCCAGGTGTGGTGGCACAGGCCTTTATTCACATTACTTGGGAAGCAGAGGCAGGAAAATCTCTCTTGAGTATGAGGCCAGCCTGGTCTACATAGGAAGTTCCAGGACAGCCAGAGCTATGTAGAAAGACCTATAGGTGTAATTTTCTGTTCCGCCAGCCACCTCCCAAATAACCATATATGCAATAACTTATTATTAAGTATAAATGCTTGGGCAATTGCTTAGGCTTGTTACTAACTAGCTCTTACAACGTAAATTAATCCATATTTCTTTTTTTTTCCTTTTTTTTTTTTTAATGTTTTTTCAAGATGTGTAGTTTTGGTGACTGTCCTGGATCTTGCTTTGTAGACCAGGCTGGCCTTGAATTCACAGAGATCTGCCTGCCTCTGCCTCCCAAGTGCTGTGATTAAAGGCGTGCACCACCACCACCTGGCTAATCCATATTTCTTGTCTATATTCTACCTTGATACCTTTCTTCAGTACAGCATGTTCATCTTGTTTCTCCCTCTGTCTCCTGGTAACTCGCCTGCCTTCCGCATCCTACATCCTAGCGCTCTGTCCCTTTCAAGTCCCGCCTAAACTCTAGCTATTGGCCATTTAGCTCTTTATTAAACCAATGACAGCAACACATCTTTACAGATGTGGAAAGATTATTCCACAACAGAGACCCTGTCTCAAAAAATAAAAGAAAAAAGAAGCTGGGCGGTGGTGGTGCACGCCTTTAATCCCAGCACTCGGGAGGCAGAGCCAGGCGGATCTCTGTGAGTTCGAGGCCAGCCTGGGCTACCAAGTGAGTCCCAGGAAAGGCGCAAAGCTACACAGAGAAACCCTGTCTCGAAAAACAAAAAAAAAAAAAAAAGAAAAAGAAGCAACTTATTTATCAGAGTAACCTTTTAGGTCATAGTATATCTTCATAGCAATAAAAACTCTTAAGAAAACATGAGAGCCTGTCTTATAGGGGAAAAAAAACCAGCCAGTCAATAGAAGTTTTTTTAAAAGTAGAATAGGCATTCTTATATATTGAGGTTTTTTTTAATTTTTTTTAAAGATTTATTTATTTATTATGTATACAATGTTCTGCCTGCATGTGTGCACTCCAGAAGAGGGCACCAGATCTCATTACAGATGGTTGTGAGCCACCATGTGGTTGCTGGGAATTGAACACAGAACCTTTGGAAGAGCAGCCAGTGCTCTTAACCTCTGAGCCATCTCTCCAGCCCCTTATTTTTTTTTTTTTTTAATTTTATTGATGTTTTGCCTGTATGTATGTCTATGTGAAGATATTGGATCCTGGAGTTACAGTTATAAGCCACCATGTGGGTGCTGGGAATTGAACCTGGGTCCTCTGGAAGGGCAATCATTGCTCTTAACTGTGAGCCATCTCTCGAGCCCCATATTGAGGTGTTTATATTGAGAGAAATTAGGGTATGTAATTCTCGTCAGTTCTCAGAATACATACATGCATATATATGTATCACTTAATATTAGCTCTTGTTCTTTGTAAGGCACATGCATAACTTAGCTAGTGTTCCTTGATGTTCAGGGTGATGAGTCCAATCTAAAGTTCAGTATTTTTCTCTGATCAACTTGAAATTATATATGTATATATATATATAATTAATTGTATTAATTTGGAGCTATGTGTGTCCAGCTTAGCTATAGTTTCCCATGAATGGTGAGTATGTCAGTGTTCTAACTCTAAGGACATCTGAGTTATCTGTGTATCTTAGTGGTTGATAAATTTATGAACTGTGTCATCTTGAACTTTTTAAAAATACTAATTCCCTGAATTTCTAACGTGAGAAAAGTACACCACCCTTTTTCTTTTTCTTTCTCTTTCTTTTTCAAGACAGGGTTTTGCTCTGTAGACCAGGCTAGCCTTGAACTAACTCACAGACATCTGGCTGCCTCTGCCTCCTAGAGTACTGAGATTAAAGGTGTGTGCCACCGTGCCTAGCTTCCAACCTTTTCTTACTCATCATGACGTCCTTTTGCCTGAGAAGAACATACAGTAGTGTGTATGTACACTGTACAGGTTAATCTTTTGAATTTATTGCCTTGTTTGGCCATCTGATCATAGGTTGACTAGTGTAATGTCAACACTTTGCTAAATATTTATTCAATTAGAAGTTAGAGAAACATGGTTTGTGTTTGTTTGTATGTGTGTTTGTTTTTTGAGACAGGATTTTGCTGTGTAACCCCGGCTGTCCTAGAACTCATTCTATAGACCAGGCTGGCCTGGGAATAGACCAGGCTGACCTCGGACTCTAAACAAAAAGCTGCTGTCAGGTTGGGGCTGTGGCAGACTTGGTGGTAGAGTGCTTGCTTAGCATTCGTGAGATCCTCGGTTTTATCCCCTGTACCAAAATAAAATGAAATCTGTTGTCACCAGCTAGAATGACAAGTAACAGGATGCAGAGCAAGGCATATTTATGTTTTTATTTTATGTGCATTGGTGTTTTGCCTGCATGTATGTCTGTGTGAGAGTGTTGGGTCCCCTGAAACTGGAGTTACAAACAGTGGTAAGCTGCCGTGTGGGTGCTGAGAATTGAACTCAAGTCCTCTGGAAGAACAGCCATTGTGCCTAACTGCTGAGCCATCTCACCAGCCCCATGAGCAAGGCATATTCATGTTTATGTTCCGTACAGGTTAATGTGCAAAACTATTTCATGTTAGAAGAAAAGAGTGTGGTAGCATATGCCTGTAATCCCAGCACTTGGGAAGCTGAGGCAAGAATTCCAAGAGTTCAAGGGCATACTGGACTACACAGTAAAAGTTGTTTGAAAACAAGGATAAAGCCGGGCTGTGGTGCCACACACCTTTAATCCCAGCACTTGGGAGGCAAAGGCGTGTGGATCTCTGTGAATTTGAGGCCAGCCTGGTCTACATAGAGAGTTCCAGGACAGCCAGGACTGTTACACGGAGAAACCCTGTCTCAAAAAACCAAAACCAAAAACAAAAGACCTGGTTAGATAAAAAGAAGGCTGGGAAACTGGTTATCTTTTTCTTCTATTCCTTAGTATTATTTTGTTTTTTTTTCTAGGCAAAGAATGTGTACAGCAGTTGGCTGAGAATACCAAGTACTTCAGGAGACGCCTGAAGGAAATGGGGTTCATCATCTATGGCAATGAAGATTCCCCAGTGGTGCCTTTGATGCTCTACATGCCGGCCAAAATTGGGTACATTTTGTGGAAGGTCACAGCTGGCCTGTCGTTAGACGGAAGGAAGTGTTGGGGCTGGAGGGGAAGAAGTTGGCGTTCCTGTGTTGCTACATGGGCAGGATTTTTTTTCCTTGCTTGCTTTTTGCAAGATCTCACTGTGTAGATGACGCCTCCTCACTGTGTTGGCCTGCCTCTACCTCCCTCCCACACCTGCCCTGGGGAGTCTCTTGTTCCCGGATACTGTGAGCAAAGTAAGGGAAGATAAAACACAAAGCATAGTTTGGTAAACAAGCAAACTAGTTAGAGGTCATTGTTTAGTTAGGACTCAGATGTGGAGTAAGGGCACAAGACAGCTGCGGTGGATTTGTTGTTGTATAAGAGTTGTGAAGTTTGGGTAACCTGCTGGCCTATGGAGCCTCAAAGCAGCCTGTACTCCACAGGCAGCTTTAGTCCCAAGTAGGTTTTTTTTTTTTTGGTTTTTCGAGACAGGGTTTCTCTGTGTAGCTTTGCGCCTTTTTCCTGGAACTCACTTGGTAGCCCAGGCTGGCCTCGAACTCACAGAGATCCGCCTGGCTCTGCCTCCCGAGTGCTGGGATTAAAGGCGTGCGCCACCACCGCCCGGCTCCAAGTAGGTTTTTAAAAGGAAAAAAAAAAAAAGGAATTCCTGGTCTAGAGGGCCAATTCAGTCAGCTACTCTGGCAGCAACAGAGAGATAGCCCTGTTGGAGCAGGTCCTCTGTCCTCACAGTCTCAAAATTTACTGTTTTGAGAACGGAGTTTTTTTTAACACTGGTTGATTTTGAAATCTTAACTAGTGTTACTACATTTCAGGGACAGGCTGTCACCTGAAGCAAACTTTTGTCAGAGTTGATCCTTTCCAGGTGCATCCACCTTTGTGAAGGAGTGGCTCTCAGAGGAGTGAAAACAGAATTTAGACCCGTCAGCTCTTAAGTGTTTACGCCTGTGTCATCAGTAATGAGGCCAGCAGCCAAGTGCTGGCGGCGCACACCTTCAATCCCAGCACTCGGGAGGCGGAGGCAGGTGGATCTCTGTGAGTTCGAGGCCAGCCTGGTCTACAGAGTGAGTCCAGGACAGCCAGGACTGTTATACAGAGAAACCCTGTTTGGAGAGGGGAATGGGGACAGGGGGTAGGAATCAGGCCAACAAGACCTTGTACTGGCTGCTAGTTACACTTCTTGGTTTCTTTTGTTGTTGTTTTGGTTTTGAGGGCAGGATTTCTCTGTGTTGCCTAGGCTGTCCTAGAACTAGTTCTGCTGGCCTCGAACTCAGATCCAGGCATGTGCCACCATGCCCTGCTACATTTCTTGGTTTCATTTCCTGTTTTCCTTTTGTAGTGCCTTCGGGCGGGAGATGCTGAAACGGAACATTGGTGTAGTTGTGGTGGGATTTCCTGCTACCCCGATCATTGAGTCCAGAGCCAGATTTTGCCTGTCAGCAGCTCATACCAAAGAAATACTTGATACGGTAAGTACCTTAGAGTCAATATGGCACATACTAAAAGGGGCTGTGTATCAGATGGTGTTATATATATGTGTGCACCACATGCATACATACTTGGTGCCGTGGATCTCCTGGAACTGGAGTTACAGACAGTTGTTAGTTGCCATGTGGGTGCTGGGAATTGAACCCGGGTCCTCTAGAGGAGGACACAGTGCTCCTAACCTTAGCTGAGCCATTTCTGCAGCCCCGAGTACCTAGTGTCTTAAACTGGTGAGATAGTGACAGGCAGTGCTATTTTGAGTGGCTATTTCATAGCAATTGGAGAATCTTTCAAATCATCCACCAAATCCAGTTCCAGAGTCTGGAGAGCAGTCTGGCTTCCTTCCTTTTGGTTTGTGACAGGGTCTTGCTAAGTAGCTCAGGTCACTCTCGAACTCACTGGTACTCACACTGGAGAGCCTCCTGGCTGCTGGGATTGTACGTGTGAGCTGCCTCACTCGGTCAGCATCCACTTGTACTGTGTCTCCCTCGTGATGGGACCTAAAGCAGGACTCCAGCTGTCTCTAAGTTTGATGATACACGTACAAAATTTCCCTTCTGAAGCCTCCTTTTCTCCTGTTGTCATGCTGTGCACTGGTCACAGCTCCATTAAAGGAACCTTGCTCATGTTCCTTTGGCATCCTAAGATCACCCCTCCCCTGCCCAGCAAGTTCTTTATGCTGGTAATGGTTTCACTGTGGATTGGGGGTGGGTGAGTGATAGTGTGCTTTTTATTTTCTTTCTGTGTTTGAGACAAGCTGGTCTCCAACTCACAGAAACCTCTTTGTTTCTGTCTCCTAAGTAGTGAAATTACAGACATGTGCCATTATACCAGGCTACAATCTACTAGCCCTAAGGAATTTTGTAAATCATTCTTTGTAGAAGTGTTATAATAATCTGATTGGCATTTGTTTGTTGTTTTTTTGTTGTTGTTTTGGGTTTTTGTTTTGTTTGATTTTTTCTTTTCGGTTTTTCAAAATGGGGTTTCTCTGTATGACAGCTTGGCTGTCCTGGAACTCGCTCTGTAGACCGGGCTGGCCTTGAACTCACAGAACTTTGCCTGCTTCTGCTTTTTTTGTTTCTGAGACAGTGTCTTGCATGTAGTCATGCCTGGCTAGGAGCCTGTTTTCCTCTATATCTTCACGAATAGGGATTATAGGAATGAGCCATTACACCTAGCTTTTTATTTTATTTTTATTTTTATTTTATTTATTTATTTTTTTTTTTTTGGTTTTTCAAGACAGGGTTTCTCTGTGTAGCTTTGCGCCTTTCCTGGGACTCACTTGGTAGCCCAGGCTGGCCTTGAACTCACAAAGATCCTCCTGGCTCTGCCTCCCGAGTGCTGGGATTAAAGGCGTGCGCCACCGCCCGGCTTTATTTTATTTTTAAACATTAGTCTTGTTGACGTCATTTTATCTTGTGATGTTTTATAGAATTAAACACTAAAAATGAACAATATCTTTATGTGATACAAACTAATTTTTATTCAGTACTGGGTCCTGTCACATTATTAAAAAATTAACATTTATGGTGGTGGTGGTGGTGGTGGTGGTGGTGGTGTGTGTGTGTGTGTGTGTGTGTGTGTGTGTGTGTGTGTGTGTGTGCGCGCGTGTGTGCTTGAGCATATATGGAGATCAGAGAAAACTTGAGAGAGTCAGCACTAAACAAATGAAAAGGGACTCTCAGGCCAGGCATGGTGGTGCAGACCGTAAGTCCCAGCACTTGAGGCTGAGCAGAAGGGTCACAAGTTCAGGGCCAGCATGAGTGTGCACAGGGCCTTTTTTTATTAGTCTCACCATCAGGGGTCAGTAGATACCTAAGAATGAGTTTAGATAAGGAAGATTTTACCTTGTAAAATTGTTAAATATGCTTAACAAGCTGGGCGAAGTTGTGGGTTCCTGTATTCTCAGTTACTTATGCTGCTTAGGCTGAGGCAGGAGGTTCCTTTAATCTCAGGAGTTTGAGGCTAATGTGGGCAACGTAGTGAGATGCCATCTCAAAAAAAAAAAAAAAGAATATTGTTAGAATGATAGTATAGTCATCTACAGATTCAGTACAAATTCAATCAGAATTTAAGTTGTACCTTTTGCAGAAATGGAAAAGCTGATCCTCACGTTTATATGGAACTAGTAGGTTTCCCCCAAAGAACTGACATGTTGAAATGAAAGTGGAATACTCGTATTTGTCAATTCAAATCTAATTACAACCTACAGTAACTAAAGCAGTAGGCGAGTACCAGCCCAAGGATTTCAGTTAGACCAGAGGCTTGGAATGAGAGCTGAGGATTTAGCCCAAGCATCTGGTCAGCTGGTTGTTAACAGGACAGCCGGGGCAGGCAGTAAGCAAAGGATAGTTCCTAAAGCCAGCAGATGGCAGAATGGATGCCCAGTGGAGCTGCATCTCTACAGCGTGGACAGGCCTGCGAGCTGTGCTAACTAGGCCAGACCCAGCCGGGACTTAAGAGTCCACTCACAGGAGTGCCCATAGTGGGCGACGCTCCAGTGTGGGAAACCATACAGTGGTGGTTGGGAGCGCTTAGAGAAAAGCAGGTGTGCAGAGCGATAAACAGACTGAGTGTGGGAGTTCACTGGGAGACAGAGGCCAGCCTGGTCTACAGAGCCAGTTCCAAAACAGCAAGGGCTACACAGAAACCCTGCCTCGAAAAGCCAAACAGAACAAAAAAGAAAACCCTCTACAGTTAGTGAGGTGATGAGAGTTGTGCCATGATGGGATTATACCAGAAGCACTGAACTGTGTCCGGTAAAAAGTTGGGTTTCGTAGCATGTGGGTCATATTTCAATGGTTATTTTCCGCATAAGGGAAGAATAATGGCGTCAGCTGTGGGAGGGCAGCTCTGCTAGCATTCCTCACTCAGCCTGTACTGAACCCATTTTCCTCTTAGGAGCTCATCTTATGCCTTGAGCCAGAGGTCAATGCAATTGTTTGTTAAGAAATGGTACCATGTAATGGTTCTTTGCTCCTAATCTAACCAAATAACCTCACTTAAGGGCCAGCAGTGTCTATTACAGATTTATTTTTTATGTAGATAAAACTTGTCTGGGGCTGTGAATGATGGAATATGCCTGTTGTCCTGGGTGCCCAGAAGTCTGAGGCAGGAGGATCACTTAAGCTCAGGAGTTCCAGATCAGCTTGGGAAGTTTATTGAGATTCCACATCAAACAACAACAACAACAAAGTCAAAAACCTTGTGTGAAGTACTGGATATGGGAACAGAACTCTTACTTACTTTATTCCCTAGGCACTGTGAATGTGTTTCAGCCCACTGCCTGTTTCTAAGCACTTGCCTTTTTACACTGATGAAAAGAAATATTAGGTACTCCTGAAGTTACAGTTCGTAAATATCCTTTCCTTGGTGTTCTGAGTCACGTACACTTTTGTTTCAAATGTATAAATCCTCTATCAGAGTCAAGGACATAAATGACTAATGGATTCTCTCCCGTCTGAAGTTCAGAGTGGAGTCTTCAGTTAAGCCTGGCCTCAGAAGTACTATGTTCTGATAGCACAGTGAAGTTCAGCTCTTTATATTTTTTACATTTTGGAATAAAGAACAGGCAAACTCACTTTTATGCTGGTTAATAGTTATAAAATACACATTTTCTTTTTAAAAAATTTTTACAATTTTTATTTATTGTGCTTTTGAGTATGGGTGTGGGTTCAGTTCAAACATGCCATGATTTGCATATGGAGATCAAAGGGCAAGTTGCAAGAGTTGGTTCTTTCCACTGTGTGAGTCCTGGGGATTGATCTCGAGTTGTGAGGCTTTGTGGAGGGTGCCTTTACCTGCTGAGGTGCTCACTGACCCAAGGTGTGCATTCTACAGAATTATAGATATAATCCTGACAGGAAGCCTGTTCCCCTTCCTGCTGAGCACATTACACTTAGAAGAATCTTAGCCTCTATGCTTGGGTACTCACGGCCCATTTTGATGGCCAGGCCTGAGCTCTTGCTCAGATGCTATTCTTGCCTCAGCTGTGGACAGTCTTTCATGAATACTTGAATTCAGTGTCCCACCAAGATAACCTTGCCACTGTTGTCAGCCCAGGAAAGTGTTGGGCATGCTTGCATCCTGCTCGTCCTGGCTGACCCCGGTCTTGTGTGTTTCAGGCTTTAAAGGAGATAGACGAAGTTGGGGACCTGCTGCAGCTGAAGTACTCACGCCGTCGGCTGGTGCCTCTGTTGGACAGGCCCTTTGATGAGACGACCTATGAGGAGACAGAAGACTGAGCCTTTTTGGTGCTCCCTAGAGGGGGAAACTCCCTCCCAGGACAGCGTGTGGCCTTTCTGAGCCAGTTCCAGGAACCACACTTCAGTGACCACCTCATGTGAAAGACAGTTCTGAAGCTACTGAAGGTGGCCACCTCCACTCCAAATGGCATTTTGTAAATAGTAAAAACAAACAAACTGCTTCACATTCTTCCTTTGTTTGCTAAGTCTCACCTTTATATATATATATATATATATATATATAAAAAAATGATTACTTTGTCCATTAAAAATGTTTTATTTTATAACTATTCTATTTGTGAAATCACGCTAACCCTTGCCTGTGGCTTACCACACAGGCATTCCCCACTCCCCATTCCAGCCACCTCATGGGCTTGGATCCATCAAGACTTACCCTGGCCCTGGCTATCCAGCCTCGAGACTCACTGGCCCTCTCCCTAGGGAGCAAGTGCCTTCTGCTGACTTCCCATCCAGGTCTCAGAGGTCGCCCCCATTGTAACCCTTATTTAACCAGTCAAGTTAATCAACCAAAGCATTCTGTCTTTAGTCTTAAATGTTAACAATGCTAAGAGGTTTGTTATGTGACTCCCCCTGGCCAAGGACCTCATTGGACTGCTTTTACTCTGTTTTTTGTTGTTGTTCTGATCACCAAATAATTTATTCATTATCAGGTATTTCTTCATATGGTCACAGACTGAAGATGTGTCCAGAGTTTGGATTTGTCACCAGATCGAACTCTAATGCTTCCCACCTCCAAAGTTAGGACAGCCTCTGGCTGGTTCTGGGTCCAGATTAGGATCTGACCTGGTAAGGGAAGTGTTGGTCAGTCCTCTGCCTGTGTTCCACTTCCCCATCATTAGTGGTCTAGGTTCTCCTTGTAGATGCTGACCACTTGAACAGTGCTTCTCCAAATGCCAGTTCTTCTACTCTTAATGGCCTAAGACTACTTTAACCCAGCATCCGGGGCTGCCTTCTCTTGTGCTTCCATTGGATACTTTGTTTCCTTGAGGAATTTCTGATCAAATACCTCTTTCCTAAACTGGAATAGCCTCTTTTCCTGTCACCCCCAGGTCAGGGACTTCATCCAGAGCTTTGTGCGGCTTGACCAAAGAACACATCTGAAGAGCACCGCTTAAAGTTACCTTTTTCTTTTGACCAAAGCTTAGTTGAAGAGAACTTTTGACTTTATTGTTACTGAAGATGAATTTGTCTTTTAGTAGTGATCAAGTGTTAGAGGGAACGGTTGAGAACAGAATGAAAAGAACTGTATAAAAGTGTATTCTGCATGTGGCTCTTTTAAAGAATAGGAAAGAAGCCAGGCAGTGGTAGCACACACCTTAAATCCCAGGCAGGTGGATCTCTGAGTTCGAGGCCAGCCTGGTCTACATAGTGATTTCCAGGACAACCAAAGCTGTTAGACAAAAAACAAAAAAAGCCCTGTCTCAAATCTCTCCCCACACCCCAAAAAGAGAATAGAAATGGATGCATAACCTAGATGTGGTGGCGCACGCCTTTAATCCTCGCACTCAGGAGGCAGAGGCAGGTAGATCTCAGTGAGCTTGAGGACAACAAGGGCTGATAGTGAAACCTGTCTCAAAAGAGAAAAAAGAAAGAAAAAAATGGTCAGAAGAACCACAGAAAGAGACAAGAACTACATTTATAAAAAAGATTCCGTAACTAAGTCTTGTAAAGCTCAGAACACCTTGCTCACTCTCCCCCTATAGAATCCCACTGGAATGCCAAGTATAGTTACTGTTTAATGATGTAGGTAGAGGCCTTGCAAAAGTAGCAAGCTTTAAGCGATGAACCTGCCTGCTAGTCTTTCAGCTTACGTAAAGTCACTTCAAATTAAAGTGCTATTGACGGGCATTTAAATTTTTATGTGTATCACTTAGTTGGTACAAAGTTTACTTCAAGCTAAATGTAATTAAGTTACAAGTTTATTTTGAAGAGGACAAAAAGGTGTATGCACATTATATGTGACTGGTTTATTTGTAACTCTGTAATAGAAATCTTGGGTCCAGTCATGTCATAGGTCATTATCCAAATTTTGGAGTGATACAAGGCCATAATAGTCAAGCATTTGAGAATGAGTAGAAGTCTGGACCTCAGAGAGATTCAAACATATATAAGTCAGCCATCACCACCAGAGCTGACTGCCAATTGGTCTACAAGGCGCAACTGATCTTAGCACTTCGCATCATGCTTTTCGTTATCATTGTCCTTATTCATTTCATGTTTGTAAGACCCACTTCACAGCCGGTCAGAATCATGCGTGAGACTTGGCCCAAGGAGCAGGGGCAGTGAGCATCTCCTCCGTGTAGTGTCCTTGTTTAAGGGATCCAGCCCTCTTCAGTTCTTCATCCATGCTCTTCAACTCTTCTGGTCCAGGCAGTGTTCAAAATCAGCCTTCTTCCTTGAGTTGTCCTGCCCCACACCCTCCCGTAGGCTGGTAGGCTGAAGGGTGGAAGAACATCCTCGTAGTGCTCGCCTCTGGTCTTTCACTCGCCCTCTCCGTAGCTTCTGCTTCTTGGCGGTTGGGATTCTAGCTCCAGAGAAGACTTGACATGTGCTGGTGCAGAGTTGGGGGAGCTGTGCTGTAGACAGCCTGCTCCTTGCATGCATAACCGTGTACTTCAGTGACTGTCAGGGGACTTTTTCCTTTTTTAGTTGAGGGCGTCCATATCTGAGTCTCCGTGACGGGCAGGGTGTGGCCAGACTACCTGGTGTGTAATGTGCTTTGCAAAAAGCGGGATGAACAGCTGACTTAGATTTTCCAACTCTTTGGACAAGAAGGAAATGATTGCTACCACCTCCCTTTTCCCAAATTGAGGAGTCTGCCTAATTGTCTGTAGTATGTTTGACAAAGCCTCATAGAAAAGAATAACAACTGGTTCCTCCTGTGTGAAGGATTGCTGTGGGTCAGGTATGGTACACACCTGTAATCCCACTGCTTAGGGGACAGAAGCAAGAGGACCTCCTAGAATTCTCTGGATTAGCCTGGGCTACAGGGTAAGACTCTTTTGCTATGACTGAGTACCAGCACGCTGTTGTAGGTGAGAAATACCTACGTGTTCCTGTTGTTGCTTTGTTTCCAGTGTGGCATTAGAAAAAGAGGGAGAATTGTGCTTTTTTCCGACTGCCCTGTGCCTGTAATGATCAGGAGCTATGGAGTGTTTCTCACAGGTGAAATCACCTTGGCCTAGGGCTATGAACAGAGAGGTTTTATGAAAATCAGGATTCTGCTTGTCTTTTTATCAAAGAATCTATAGCCCCACCCCCACCCCCACCCCCACCCCAGTTCCAGAACCTATGGACGGGCTGTTACCTGTAAGCTCAGTGCCCAGCAGGCATCTTAATCCGTTAAGCCGGTCAATCAAAATACCTTCCATGTGGAGAAAAGCATGTCCTTCCTCCCCTCTGCCTTAGCCACATGAATTGTGTGCTCGGGCTCCTAGCCAGCTGCTGTGTCCAGCCAGACAGCCAACTCGGAGCTCAGAGAAATGCTAGGGCCTGCCAGTGATCCCTTCCTTCCCTTGTCCTGCCTGCAAAATGCTGTTGTTCCTTTGTAGTTTCCGGTGACTTCCGTTTTCCAAGCAGCTTTTTGCTGTAGAGTGAAGTGTTTCTAGGAGGGAAACAAGGAGCCAACTTTGGCCCTTCATGAAAATGACCATTTTCATCGATGCTGAGCCTGAAGGTTCTACATTCACAGTTCACCCCTTCGGAGTAGCTTGGGGGGTAGGGGAGCAGTGGGTAAGATTCTGTTTACTACGGTATGGCCTTAAATTGTTACTGTTTCTGGTGTAATGGATTGTAATAAACTGACCCTGAAGAATGCCGAGGCCCTTACCCCGCAGTCACTGTTTTTAATGAAGCAATCCCTAAAGCTCTGTTTTGGGAGCAGTCGTGGGAGGTGGAATGAAAGGTGCCTGCACCCGGATGTGATGCTAAGTGTCTGTTTACTTACCGTCTGAGTTCTCCCCATGTGCAAGGGAACTCCCGTCAACTCAGAGTCCAGCATGGTTCCCAGGTCTCTCGTGCAGTTCCTGACTGTTTGGGGGGGTGGGGTCTTCCAACTGAGTGGAGGCTGTACCACCAAGTGGGGTGGAGTAGTGACTTACCTTCCCCCTTGACATTGTACCTCAGGATGGGTTTAGCCAGTAGTTGGAATTGAGAGCTTCCCTACTGAGTCTCTCTTGACGGGGCATGGAAGCCTTTACTATAGTTTAGCCTATGTGCCACAGTCTTGATGATCCCCCTCTGTACAAAGGCAGCTAACAATAAGGGATGGGGGGGAAGAGGAGAGCAGGTGTCCATGGGAGAGCTGATTTAGGGTGGCCCTGGTGATCCACGTTTTCCCACTGACCGGGTTACTATAAACTGGAATTAGCGAGGCATACTGTGATCTAACCCTTTCCATTGCTGCAATGTCCTTATCTAAACCTGGGATGTGGGGTCCTTTTTCATTGAGTAGTGTCTCACCAACGCCACTCTTCTGTAGCCCGCTGCTTTCTTGCCAGATGATGATTTATTAAAATTTCATTTTATATCGGATGACTGCGAAGCTGTCCATAGTAGGCTGTGGAGGGTGTCAATTTTCAGAGTGCATGTTAAGAATTCAAAGGGGACCTACTTGATATGAATCATCCCACAAATACTGTTTTGCCCTAATAAAATGTTCAGAAATAGACACTTGCCTTTATTCATTCAGTCAATAAATATCAGGCATTGACCTCAGTGCCAGCAAGTGGACTGGGCATTGCCACCAACAGCCGTAAAAAGGCAGATGTGGACAAGTGTGTGAACACACCCTTCTACAGACTGCCAAGGGCTTGAGCAGAAAACCCAAAAGGGATAATAGGAAGGGGAACAGGAAACTTGTCTGAGGAGGTGGAACATCTGACCGGCTTCAGTGTAAGAAGACCTCAGTCGGGAGGCAGAGGCAGGAAGATCATTGGTGGGAGTGGGTGGGGGCCGGGGACCACTGGGCAAGGCTGGAGAGGCCAGGGCGGCCATGCTGCCGCCTTTGCAGGTCAGAGGAGGTGTCTGCTTCACCTGTGGGGATACCAGTGAAAAGGTTTTTGTTTTGTTCTTTCACGTTTATTGGGCGGGGTCGGGGACAAGGCGGGGCATGTGTCTGTGTGAACATGCCAGTTCTTGTGTGGTCAGAGGAAGTTTGTAGGAAGTCCATTCCTCCACCATGTGGGGTTCCAGGACTGAACTCCGTGTATCAGGTTTGGTGGCAAAGTGCCTTTACCAACTGAGCCATCTTGCTGGCTAGAAAAATGTAGAGTTGAAGAGGATGGCATGCTTTCTTGTGGACATTGACAAGTTGGTAAAATTTTTATGTATGTATACAAAGGTCCTAAGAATAGTCCACAGTTTTGGAAACTGGTTTACATTAACTGAAGTCTTTAACATTGTAGGTAGTGTTCTTGGCTTCAGGGTGCCTGCAGATCACTGAACTCAGCGGAGTCTAGAAACAGACTCCTATGTGACGTGGGGACTTGAATATATTTCTTTTTGTTGTTTTGTTTTGTTTTTGAGACAGGGTTTTCCTGTATAGCCCTGGAACTTGTTCTGTAGACCAGGCTGGCCTCAAACTCATCTACCTACCTCCCTAGTGCTGGGATTAAAGGTGTGCGCCACCACTGCCCAGCTTCAACAAAAGATCTCAAGTGAAGAAAATACAAGTGCCGCACCTAGTGGCCCTGGAGCCCTTAGTAATTAGTCTAATTACAATAGATGATAAATCTATTGTAATTAGACTATTGTATATTAACCACCTTCATATACAATAGTCTAATTACAATAGATGATAGATCTAAATATGAAAATGGTAGGGCTAGGGAAGTAGTTCAGTGGATAAAGCACTTGCCACTCAAGTATGAGTGCCAGAGTTCAAATCCCCAGCACCCCCACCCCCACCCCCAGTGCTAGCTAGATGACCTGGTGAGCTCCGTGTTCAGAGAGAGAGAGAGAGAGACCTCGCCTGGGTAAATAAAATGAAAAGCAGCCGACCTCCTCACATACAAACGTGCACACCACACAAATACACACAAGCAAAGAATTTCTTTTAAAAAATCAAATCAACGAATTTGCTAAAAATGGGCTGGAATGGTTAAGAGCACTAGCTGTTCTTCCTGAGGACCCAGGACAATACCCAGCACCCTCATGGTGGCTCATAACTGTGACTCCAGTTCCAAGGGATCCAGTGGCTATTGCAGGCAAACATGCATGTGGCGCACAGGTATATATGCAGGCAAAATACCTGTGCACATAAAGTTAGGGTTTTTTTTTTGTTTTTTGTTTTTGTTTTTGTTTTTTTGTTTTGGTCTTTCAAGACAGGGTTTCTCTATGTATCCCTGGCTGTCCTGGTAGACCAGTCTGGCCTCAAACTCAGAGATCCACTTGCCTCTGCCTCCATAGTGCTGGGATTAAAAGCATTCACCACCACAGCCCAGCTTATAACGTTAAATTTTTTAAAAATGTAAATAAAGGCCGGGCGGTGGTGGCGCACGCCTTTAATCCCAGCACTCGGGAGGCAGAGGCAGGCGGATCTCTGTGAGTTCGAGGCCAGCCTGGTCTACAGCGCGAGATCCAGGAAAGGCGCAAAGCTACACAGAGAAACCCTGTCTCGAAAAACCAAAAAAAAAAAAAAAAAAAAAAAAAAATGTAAATAAAAAATATTGGATCAAACACTTGTCCAAAAAGTCTGGCGAGGGATGTGGTGGCACATGCCTGTAATCTCAGCCCTTCAACAACAAAAAAAGACATAGCCCATAAAAAATGTTCATTGTTACCATCAAGTTTAAATGAAAACAATAAGACACTCCCATGAACACAGAATGGCTAGAGTTAGAAGAATTACAATATTCAATGGACAGAGATGTGGAGAAGCCAGGGCTCTCTTACGTTGCTGATGGGTACCATCTGAGAAGCAAGATGGCCGCTTTCTTTCTTGCAGCCAATTAGGTGTTTATTTACCCAAGAAAAAAAATAAAACATGTCCACACAGAACTTGAACATTCATAGATGCTTTATTCATAACAGCCCCAAACTGAAAACAACTCACAAAACATCATGTTAAGTGGATACACAAATTACAAATGCCCAAATGATAGTAATATGTGTTACCAGGCAGTGTAAAGGAGCAAATCACTGATATCTATAAAATGGATGTCTTAGAAACACGCTGAAGGAAGCCTACCCAGGAGAAGACATCATACAGTTTTGTTGATACGTGATAGAAAAAGGCAAATGGTAGCACAGTAGCATCAGCTGTTGGCAGGAGCCGAGATTACGTGTTGGTGACTATACAAAGAGATTGTTAAAAGGTTGTCTTCAAAACAACAAAAACATAAAAACTATGATTTCCTTATAGAAATAAAAATAAATGTAGAAGAGCAAATCATGGGCTGGAGAGATGGCTCAGAGGTTACGAGCACTGGCTGCTCTTCCAGAGGTCCTGAGTTCAATTCCCAGCAACCCCATGGTGGCTCACAACCATCTGTAATGAGATCTGGCGCCCTCTTCTGTCATGCAGGGATATATTCAGGCAGAACACTATATGCATAATAAATAAATAAATGGATGGATAGATAGATAGATAGATAGATAGATAGATAGATAGATAGATAGATAAACTTCTTAATGAGGAAATAAGATACAGAAGAACTGCCGGGTGGTGGTGGTGCACGCCTTTAATCCCAGCACTCGGGAGGCAGAGGCAGGCGGATCTCTGTGAGTTCCAGGCCTGCCTGAGCTACAAAGCTACACAGAGAAACCCTGTTGAAAAAAAACCAAAAAAAGAAAAAAAAAAGATACGGAAGAACAGAAATTTACAGATGAGCGGTATTTGAAATAAAGGTGCAAATGAAGGCATAACTGGTTTCCTAACATACGTCGACTGAACTTTTGTGAGACAGGACGTTCCACTAGACAACAGTCATTTTGCTTTACTATTGATAACTACAAATATTGCAACATAGCTCAAAGACAGTGAAAGACTCATCGGATCATGAGGAGAATGATAAGGATGCACTGCCTGCGGACAATGCAGGGTTACTCATGAATTTTTGCTCCCCTCTCCCTGCAAAATTCTCAGGCTTTTTTTTTTTTTTTTTCTTCATATAGCACAGAGAAAGAACTCAGAGTCACAGGAAGGTACTAGTCTTAGCTGGTCACATGAATGCATACATTTTTAAATATATCTCTTTATTGTGGGTGTGGGTATGGGTGCAACATGGATGTTGCACAGGGCATGGGTAGATGTCAGAGGACACCTTGTGGGAGTTGGTTCTCTCCTTCCACTGTCTGGAATCCAGGGATGGAACTCAGGTGGTTGACAGCAGGTGCCTTTACCAGCTGAGCCATCTCACTGGCCCACATGAATCTATAGTTCTTAAGACTCACTGAGCTGCACAGTTAAAATGGATATATATTATTTTACATTGTATCTGTTGGCCTGCACGTATGTCTGTGCACCACATGAATGCCTAGTACCCCCTAGAGCCAGAAGTGGGTGTCAGATTCCCTAAAACTGAACTTCCAGATGGTAGCTGGATTAATTACTTTTTGTTGCTGTGATTAAAAAAAAAAAAATTATGAGCAAAGGCAACTTATAGAAGCGTTTGTTTGGGGCTTATAGTTCCCGAGGGATAGGGGTCCATCACCATCCTGAGGATGGGGTGAATAGCAGAAGACAGGCAGGCCTGGTGCTGGAGCAGCCGCTGTGAGTTCACATCCCAATCCACAAACAGGAAGCAAAGAGTCCACTGGGAATGTCTTGAGTCTTTTGAAACCTCCAAGTTCTCCCAAAGTGACACACCTCCTCCAACAAGCCACACCTCCCAATTCTTCCCAAACAGTTCCACCAACTGGGAACCAACTATTCAAACATATGAGTTTAGTGGGGACCATTCTCACTGAAACCATTGTAGACCCAGGCATAGTGACCTACACCTTTAATCCCAGCACTAGAGAGACAGAACAGGCAGGTGGATCTCTGTGAGTTCCAGGATAGCCAGAGCTACCTAATGAGAGTCCATCTGGAAAAAAAGAAAAAAATCAAACTACTACAGTTGTGGGCGCTGGTAAGGCCGTCTCTCCAGCCCCTAAAAATGGATATATTTTATTTTATGTAAACTGTGCCTCAATGAAATTGGTCAAAATCAGAGAAGATATCAGTCCTATGGCAGTGAGGGGTGGGAGCAACGTGAGAACCGGAGTGGGTGCAGCAGGACCCCTTTGGTTATTCGGACAGTTCAGACGAGGGGGTGGGGCTTGGAGTAGAGTAGCAGTTATTGACATGGAGACAGATATGAGTGAATGCATGCATGTATGCATGCATGCATGCATGAATGAATGAATGAATGAATGAACGAACGAACAAACAAGCTCATTATCTTCAAAGTCACATTTAATCTGGTAGAAAGTTTCAAAAGTATGGCTAAAAGGCTAACTATTGGGGGTAGATGTAAAAGTATTTACACCAAAAAGGTTTTAGAGCCTTGCCTTTAGTCTTAGTAAATGCAGTTTTTGATTTAGAAGATGCTCAGAGACTAGGGTTCTGTTGGCTAACATCTGAGTGTTGGTTATCTACCAGGCAGGCATCTTCTTAGGTGGACCACGCGAAATTGCCAGTATTCAGCCCCTTTGACCTGACCTCAGACCCAGGCTGTCACCCATGCGTCACACCATTCAGTGCCCTGCAGCGTCTGCTTCAGTGGAAAACGCGAGTAACTTCAAAAACAAAAACAAAACCCAGCGCAGCTCTGAGAAACTTCCCTCCGCTTCAGCCACTCCTGAACGGTTGTAGACCCGCAGCTGGGCATACTGGCCACCGTCTCCACTGTCCCCCAAGTTCACTTCCAGGCTCCCTCCAGCGTCCATCTCAGGTGGGCATCCCCTTGATTGCATCCTCGATCCAGTTCGCATCCCTCCACCCAGACCATTAGGATTCCTGGTCTACGGGTTGCTCAGAGGTCGTCGCTCAGAGGGCCTGCTGTGAAGACCCAACCTGTCCCAATGATCAGCGACACCAGCTGCAGGGCAGATCCTCTGACCCCTGAGCTCAAGCCATCGCCACCCCCACCCGCTGTCCCGGGACTGTGGCTTGTGTGGTCTCCTGGCCCTGACAGTCCTAAAATCTGGAAGGGGACCGCAGTGCGGGGAGTTTCACCTCGGAGGCATCTATGCAAAGCCTCCTAGCAAAACCTTGCCAGCCTACCTGGCTGCACGCACCCCTTTGCCTAGGTTCCTAAGACCTCCCGCCGCTCGCCGCCCCCGCCGCTCGCCGCGCGCGTCCCCGCCCGCCCGCGAGGCCCCGGGCTAGTTCAGGTGGCCGTCGTCGCGCCGTCGGGGAGCGCTACGGTGGCGCCGCAGCCTCCCCGCCCCTCGGCAGCGGTCGCGCGGGGCCCGCACAGCGCCGGGCGGCAACTTCCCCGGGACAGGAATTCGCTTGGGGCCCGCGACGGCGACAGCGGCGGGGACGGGAGGGCGGGGAGGCCGCCAGATCAAAGGAGCCGCCCCCGCGGAGCTCCGCCGAGTCCGCGGGCGCCGAGGGGCCCCCTCGGGGAGGGCGGGGGACAGGCAGGGCCACTGACCTCGCTCGCGGACCCGCGCTCACCGGCCGCGGCGCCTCTCCCCCCCCCCCCCCACCGCTCCCATCCCCACCCCCGCCCCCGGAGCGCGCGCTCCCGCCGCTCCCGGCGCGCCGCCCCGGCCCCTGGAGGAGGCGAGGCGCGGCGCGAACGCGCGCTCCCGAGGCAGGCGGCTCCCGCAGAGCAAGCCTCGCGCGCGGGCGCAGAGACGATGCGGGCCACCGCCCGGGCGAACGCCGCGGCTCCCCGCGCGCCCTGATGCTGTTGGCTGCGCTCCTGGCCGCCGGCCGAGGGCTACCCCTGAGGAAGCGGGGTCCCGGACCCCACAGCCCATCGAGGATGGTGGAGGTGAGTGATCGCTGGGACTGGAGGGACAGGAGCGGGCTGGATCCTTCGGGGAGACAGGGTTTCTCTGTGTAGCCCTGGCCGTCCTGGAACCGGGCTGGCCTCGAACTCAGAGATCCACCGGTGATGGGGGCCAGGTGCACTGAGCCTGCAGGAGTTTACACTCCCCACGCGTGGCCCGGAGCCCTGGAGGCGCTGTAACGCGCAGGCTGCCGAGGAGAAAGTTGACTTTGGTGCCTGCTCGGCAGTAGCCCGGCTTCCTGGGTCCCACCGCGCACCCCTTCCTCGCCCTGAGCGAACCTCACCCGCAGCCACACCGTCCTAAGAAGTCGATGCGGGGTGGAGAGGGGAGACTCCCGAGCGCTGACCTCAGCTCTGTGGAGTGGTGGCCTGGGGCGGCCGAGGTGGGCCAGGTGATCCCCTGCAGCAGCCCCTGAATTCTAACCAGCCAAGGATTCGAGTTTCCCATTGAGAGCTGGGGCAGGCTAAGGTAATCAAGGGCGTTCTGCACCTTGCTGGGGGTGAGCGTCCGCCAGACATTTCCACAAGGAATGTGGGGTCGTAAGACAGAAGAGCAGGGTGAAAGAGTGCTGGCTGTATTGGAAACGACAGTTGATCATGCTGTTCCGGTCACCAAGGCTCTGCGGTCCGGCCCGATGCCATCCTCTCAGCAGAGCTCCCCATCCCTATTCCCATGGAGGCTTGTTTGTATTCAAGAGCCAGCCTGCTGGGTCCTTCTTTTCCTGAGCTCTTCTGGAGGAAGATCCTTATGTCTAAGACAGGGGAGAAAACTGAGAGGCCAGGATCTGTAGGAAATAGGAGATGGTGATTGCCGGACTTGGGCAGGAGTTTGGACCATACTGTTAGAGCCGGCTACCGGGGCCCTCCAGAGGCTGGGAAGGCTGCCTTAACTTTTTTGTCCTACGGCCCTTAAGGATCACAAGCCATTGTACCTCTAAGACATTTTTTTTCCTCCTCGGGTTCCCCGCTTTCCCCTGATAGGAATGCATCCTGTAAATCACAGGGTTGGAAGTAAAACCGCTGTCATTCTGAGGTCTGGAATTTGTTGTTCTGGGGGTGGGGTGGGGTGGGGTGGTAGCTGTCCTGTGTTCTGCAAGATGCTTACCAGTTCCCTTACTGCTGGAGAGCCAGACGCTGTCAAATGTTTCCTGGGGGACACACAGCTAGCTGCCTGGCCATTGTTGAGAAACACCGATGTGGACAGATGCAGGGATGTCTGAGCTGGATGTGCCCCTGAACACCTGTAAGAATGGAATTCAGGGTCCCGAAGGTGGAGGCTCACATGTTGGAGGCCAGTATGTGCTATATAAAGTCTCTGGCTAGTCTGAGCTCTGTAGCCACATGTGTCTCAAAGAAAAAGAACAAAAGCAAAGCAATGAAAGAACTAGAAACAACAACCATAGCAACAACAGCAAAACAAAACAAACAAACAACAACAACAAAAACCAACAGAGACTTTAGGTCAGTCTCTCTGTGAACCTGAGGATAATTAAACGGGCTTGGTAGGGCATGGAGACACAGGCTTGTTAATTCCCCATGTTTAGGCGTGATGATGAGATGCTCAAGGCCATTTCCAGCCACATACCAAGTGTGAGGCCAGCCTGGTCCATGTGAGACCCTGTCTCACAATAGAATAAAATTAATAAAAAAATAAACCGGTCTTATTCCATTCTCTTGGCATTAGTGGTTCCTATTTTAACTCATCACTTCATGCTGAAATCCTTTTTTGTATGTTTTAGTATGAGGGGATGCGTTACGTTAGAGTCAGAATTGTATTCTTAGGCCCAGGATACAACCTGCCACACTCTTAAAAAAAAAAACAAAAAAAAAAACTTAAACACAGCTGGCCATGGCAGCGCACACCTTTAATCCCAGCACTCAGGAGGCAGAGAGACAGGCGGATCTCTGTGAGTTCCAGGCCAGCCGGGGCCACAGCGACGACCCTGTCTCAAAACAACAAAATCTCTAGACACAAATTAGTGCCTGAAAGAAAAAACAGACTTGGAATTTAGGGACTAGGGGTCTGGTCCACAGTGTCATTCAGCATATGACTCACCTCAGACACTTTTCTCACATTTAAAAGAGGGGGCTGGCCAGTTATGGCTGAGCTCACCTGTAATCCCAGCACTCAGGAGATGGAAGTAGAAAGATTGTCCCAGGTCCAAGGCCAGCTTGGTTTGGATAGCAAGTTCTAGGCCAGCCAGAGCTACATGATGAGACCCTGTCTCAAAAAAAATAAAATAAAATAAAATAAAATAAAATATATATATATATATATATATATATATATATATAAAATAAATAATCAAAAAGTAAAAGTGGGGCTGCATCATCCCCATGAACACCACATTGGTGTATGTTTCCAAAATTTGTAATTTCAAGTGAAGGGTCCTATTGAGTAAATACAGACAGCTATCCCTGGGACCTGGGTGCTAAGTCAGAAATAACTGATTTGTCCAATAACCTGGTTCCTCAGTGGATCCACACAACTAAAATCAGCACAATTCGGGAAGCTGAGGCAGGGGACCCACAAACTGAAGGTCATTCCTGGCTATGTGGCAAGATCCTGTCTACAAGAAAACTCATGGAGCAAGGCCGGCCATGAAGAGATGTTCCAGAAAGATGTTGATATATCTTTACATAGCATGTCCCAAGCTGCTTATCTGATGGTGACCAGATGTTGCAGTGCCAGATGTTGCCAAATTGTTTCCTGAGAGAAACACATCCCACTCCATGCCTGCATCATTTTATTTTCTTTGGTTATCTAGGGGAGGGGGGGGGGTCTGCTTTTCTGAGACAGACTCTTACCCTAAAGTCTAGGCCAGCCTGGAACTCACTACATAGGCCAGGCTGGCCTTAAACTGATAACAATGCCTCCCCAGCCTCCTGACTGCTGGGATTGCCAATGTGTTTCACCTGGCTCCCCTGGTCATTGCCGAGAAACCCCACTTCAGATCAGTCCAGAGGCCTTGGAGCCAGATGCAGTTGAACACCCCTGTAATCCCAACAGTAAGAAGGATCAGGAACTTTGAGAACCAACTGTGTCACCTTTGACTCCAGCGGGCCTGACTCTGAGCCTCAGTTTACTTCCACGGTAAAATGGATTCAGGAATCCATTCTGTAAACTGGAATGTTGAGTAAGAAACCTTTGGACTCAAAGATAAGATCATTCAATCATTCCCAAGGGCAGGGGCCTGGTGTGTTGAGAGCTAGTCAGGCACAATATGCCATAGTTCTGCCTCTTGTCCCATGGAAATACAAATGCCACCCAGACACTCACTGAGGCCAGCCTCTTTATTCTCATGTAGGGAGGCAGAAACAGACAGTGGGCCCAGTAACTAACCCAGGCCTAGTATGTGGAGAGCCAGAATCAGACTCAACTTTATGCCCCTGGGCACTTCACCTTGGCACCCTAGCAAGGTGTGAGAAAGTTAAGAGAGGGGTAGGGGACAGGGTGGCAGGGAATTGGATGAAGCAAAAGAACAAAGGTTCAAGGTCATTTTTTTTTTTTTTTGCTACATATTGAGTCTGAGGTCTGCCTAGATTGTGTGAGACCCTCTCTCCAAACAACAACAACAACAATAAGTATTATTATAGTGATTAAAAAAAAGACAAGAGATAAAAGATGTGGATGGGACAAGCTCCTGACCCCTGAGGCACAGAAGGGGTGGAAACAGGCCAGTGGGCAGGATTGGCCCTGTGGTGGGGAAGGGGATCGGAATAGTGATCCCATCTGGAAGCACTTGGGTCAGTGCCAGGGAGTGTGTGTGTGTGTGTGTGTGTGTGTGTGTGTGTGTGTGTGTGTGAGAGAGAGAGAGAGAGAGAGAGAGAGAGAGAGAGAGAGAGAGAGAGAGAGAAAGAGAGAGAGAGAGAGAGCATGCAGCAGAAGGAAGAGACAGGAAGAGAAAGGCTTGACAGTGTCTACTAAGAGAATGGAGCTATATGTATTTGAACAAGTGCTATGAGAGCCAGATGGGAACTTAGCGGATAAGAGAGGTGGTCTTGTAAGGAAGGACAGGTCATGTATTTGTTTGTTTATTGACTGTTTATTTGTTCTTGAGACAGGGTCTCACTGTGTAGTCCAGGCTAGCCTTGAGCCCTTGGTCCTCTTACCCCAGTCTCCCAAATGCTAGGATTACAGGTGTGCCCCACCACACCTGGCTATAGACAGATACTCTTTAAACATTATTTTATTTTTAGTTCTCTGTGTGTGGGTATGTGCACATGATTGGCAGATGCTCTCGGAGGCCAGACAGGATCCTCTGGAGCTGGAGTTACAGGTGGTTAGGTGCTGTGTTACCTGAGTGCTGGGAAGCAAGCTCTTCAGCCCCCTGGACAGATACTCTTAAACAAGTCAGAGACTCGGAGCACACGAGTACATCTGCCAGGAGGGTCTGTATCAGAGGCATCGGTGAGAGTGCCTACTCAGACTCAGCTAAAGATGTAAGGGGGCTGGACAGTGTTGCACACCTTTAATCCCAGCACTCGGGAGGCAGGAAAGCAGGTGGATCTCTGAGTTCGAAGCCAGCCTGGGCTACAGAGTGAGTTCCAGGACAGCCAGGGCTACACAGAGAAACCCTTGCCTCGACAAATAAATAAATAAATAAATAAATAAATGAATGAATGAATGAATGAATGAATGAATGAATAAATAAATAAATAAATAAATAAATAAATAAATAAATAAATAAATAAGATGGAAAGGACTTGTATTAGTTAGGGTTTTCATTGCTGTGAAGAGACACCAAGACCACAGCAACTCTTATAAAGATAACATTTCGTTAGGGTGGCTCACGTACAGTTTCAGAGGTTCAGTCCATTATCATCTTGGCGGGGAGCATGGCGGCGTGCAGGCAGATGTGGTGCTGGAGCTGAGAGGGCTACGTCTTGACTCAGAGGCAACAGGAAGTCGGCCTGACTGGCACACTGAGGGAAAGCTTGAGAAAAAGAGACCTCAAAGCCCACCCCACCCCCCCACAGTGACGCACTTTCTCCAACAAGGCCACATCTCCTAAGGGCGACACTCCCTTTGGGGGTTATTCTCTTTCAAACCACCACAGGACTCCACAAGAGAGGGCTGTAGGGTGCACTTGACCTGTCTTCCCCTCTTCACAGGAGCCACCATTGCCACCTCTGGGTTACTGGTACCAGGTGAAGCCTAGTCAGCAGCCCTCTCAGACGGACCCTGCTGTCTCTCTCCTTCACAAAGGGGCAGGTTCAATAGCTGTCCCAGAACAAGCTGTGAAGTGTTGCAAGCTGGGATGTGAACCCAGGTCAGGTCGCGTGACTCCAGCCATGGCCCTGAGAAGATGGTGAACGTGGAAGCGCCTTGTGAATGAGAAGGGTGTTTACACATGAGTCATTGCCGTGAGCCGGGGCGTGTGTGTGTGTGTGTGTGTGTGTGTGTGTGTGTGTGTGTGTGTGTGTGTGTGTAGTCATGCACAAGTCCTGGTGTCCTGGTGTGGTTATTGCCACTTCTGAGATCCTCACCCTCTAGAGCGCTAACATAAAGAAGGTCGTCGCGTTCAACCTCTCAGGGTTGCTGGTTCATTTACCCACTCAGCAGTGACTTACGGAGCTCCTGCGCACCCATCAGGCACTGGGAGGAGCTGGGGAGACAGGGAACAAAGAAGGTAACTTTCTGCCTCTGCAGAAGGGTGCTCCTGGTTGGCACCGATTGGTTGGAGTGAATGACAGCCAGCAAGTAGAGTGTAGCCCAGGCCTGGGAACTCAGGTGCATTGGAGGTTGGTTACAGGGCAGGACTCTGGGGTGTCCTGCTCATGACCTTCCCGACCTTACTTCCCGGTGTCGTGTCCATTATTATCGTCATTGTTATTTTTATGTTTTCTCTGCATGTATGTCTATGCACTATATGTGTACCTGATGCCCTCAGAGACTAGAAGTTACAGAGTTATAGACAGTTGTCAGCTGCCGTGTGGGTGCTGGGTATTGAACCTGGGTCCTCTGGAAAAGCAGTCAGTGCTCTTAAGCACCGAGCTACCTCTCCAGCCCCAGCCTGAGTAGGTTTGCTTTTGTTTTAACTAATGGAGAGTCTATCCATAGCTAGCCTGAAGTCCACCAATGCCTGATGGAATTGGTAGATATGCACCCCAGTTCTTCCCCCTGTGGGGCTAACAGAGGTACAGGCGCCACCCCAGGTCCCAAAGATGCCAGCTAGTATTGAGCTCCCGCTGCCCTCTGTGGTCCCGCTCCGTGACGTTCCCCAGCCCCACTCCTCCAGTCCCTGCTGTGTCCCTGGGGTCACCTTCCAGGAACCACCCGCATTTGGCTCTTCTTAGGTCCCGCATCTGAGTGACCCCCATCTAGGACTTCCCTGTCCCTCTCCACGCACCCCCCAACACTTCCCCGGGGACTTCTTTCCAGAGCAAGAGGCTCCTGGAGCATAGCAAGGAAGAAGGGCAGCCTGGGCAGCTAGGACCCGAGACCAGGGCTTCCCCTGGCCTTAGTTGACCTCGGGAGCCGGGAGAGGAGATGGCAGGTGGGGTGAGAAGGAATGTTCTGCATGCCTTCAGGACAGCAGGGTCTGGGTTAGCACTGTTCCCGTGTTGTAGATGAGGATGCAAAGGTCAGAGTTCAGATCGGGTAGTTGCTGCTGATGGAGGAGGATTTTTTTTTTTTTTTTTACAGTGGTGGATCTTTTGGCCTGGGGCATTCTCTCTGCATGGCCGCAATTCTGGCCTCTGGCCACTAGGTGCCACTAGAAACCCCAGGCCAATAGCGCCATCACTCATGTTTCCAAACTTTGCTGATGGTTCCCAGATGAAAACAACTTCACCACTGTACCTCACCACCTCCTACTTGTGACAAGGGCATCCAGACAAGCTACTAAAGCCACCCACGACTGCCTGTCTGTGACTGAGGCTGCAGCGGAGTGGCGTCTCTGAGCAGTCAGGACAGTCAGGGTTGTGGAGGTGTGCTCCAGGATGGCAGGACCAGGGATGCTCAGGTCTCCAGATGCATCAGCAGAGGGAGACCCTCCTTCTGCACCATCCACATGGGCCATGGTGCTTTGACCCAGCAAGAGGCTGCTCCCCAAGGCTGACAGGGCAAAGGGGTGACCTAAGCTGAGGTGTTTGGTGTAGGAGCCTTGGAGGCAGATATCTCTGTGCCCCAGAAAGGGACATCCAAGTAGAAGAGACGGAGTTTGAATCTGTTTTCAACTTTACAAGAAGAGAAGAAGAGAGAGAGAGAGAGAGAGAGAGAGAGAGAGAGAGAGAGAGAGAGAGAGAGAGAGATATCTAGACTGATTAAGCAGTTAAACTGAAAAGGGACAGACTCAATATTCTCAACCTGTAGTCATATAGCATGATGGCAAAAGTGTGAACCCTGGCCCCAGAGGGCCTGGTTCAAATCCTGGCTCTACTACTAAACATCTATGTGACTTCAGGAAGGTTATTTGCCCTCTGTGTACCTTCATCCTTTATAGCTGTTGTCTGTAAAAATGGGAATGGGAGCTAGTACCTGCCTGTAGATATTAGGTGGGTTTTGTTTTGTTTTGTTTTGTTTCGAGACAGGGTTTCTCTGTGTAGCTTTGCACCTGTCCGCCTGCCTCTGCCTCCCGAGTGCTGGGATTAAAGGCATGCATCACTGCTGCCCAGCATCTGTAGATATAGTTGGAAGATGCAATGAGCAACATTGTATTTGGGAGACTGGGGGTGTGGCTCAGGGAGTGGACTGCTCAGCTGGCGTACATGAAGCCCTGGGATCAGTCTCTGGCACCACATAAAAACAAGTATGGTGGCACACACTTGTAAGGTAGAAGCAGGAAGGTCAGGTGTTCAAGGCCAGCCTCAGCTACATGAGACCCTGTCAAACAAACAAACAAACAAATGAATGAATGTATGGTTAGAATAATGCCTGGGAGGCTGGGGCGTTAAGTTGGTAAAATGCTTTATAGGGCCAGATGTGTGGTGTACACCTTTGATCCCAGTACTCAAGAGGCAGAGGCAGGCAAAACACCCATCCATATAAAATAAAATAAAGAAAATATTTTTCAAAGGCACATGGCATCTGAAGAATGACAGCCAAAGCTATACTCCAGCCTTCACAAGCGTACACACATGTGCATCTGTGCACGTACACACACACACACACACACACACACACACACTCAATAGTGCCCACTACACATTACATGCTGTGGACATGTCTAGTAAGAGGATTCTAAGCCTTCTTTGTAGGAATCCTCATTCTCGTTCGGCAGGGCACTTCACATGTTGAAGGCCTTGGTAGAAAGTGGAACTGGCCGTTGGGTCCATTCTTTCCTGATTTTTCAGAAGCCATTGTCCTCTGCTGCACCAGGGACAAGGTGGGAAGGCTATGGCCTGAGTAGAACACACAGAGACATCTCTGGAAGGAGCTCCCGCTGCCTTGCCATGTACCTGGGGAACAGAAATAGGTAGCGGCCATAGACCGCCTAATGTCTGCCATCTGAGGTGAATTCTGAGGAGCTGCTAGGAATCTCAGGAGCTCACTGTCTCAGCTGACAAAGGGTAGTGCTGGCTTGGGCACTGTGGTGGCTTGAAAAAGAGTGGCCCCCATAGGCTCATATATTTGAATGCAGGGAGTGGCACTGTTTGAGAAGGATTAGGAGGTGTGGCCTTGGGGGAAGCCTGTCACTGGTGGTGAGCCAGGCACACCAGGCCCAGCTTCTCTTTCTCTTAGCCTGTGGATCAGGATGTGAGCTCTCAGCTACTTCTCCAGCACCATACCTTCTGCCTGCTGCCATGCTCCCCACCATGATGATGATGATGGGCTAAGCCTCGGAGACTGTAAGCCAGCCCCGGTGAAATGTTTTCCTTTATGAAAGTTGCTTTGGTCATGGTGTCTCTTCACAGCAATAGAGCAGTGACTAGGATAGGCAACTGGTGGAGGACAGACCGGCTGACAGACAGTCACACGAGCAGACTTAAAAGGAAAGAGGTGGAAGGCCCAGCAGGCAAGAGGAGATGCCAAGGAATTTGCCTCTGGGTGGGTGCTGAGGGCAGGGCCAGGTGTCTGGTTATGCTGAGGGAAAGGAGCAGGCTGGCTGCCCACACCCCAGTGTGAACAGGCTTTTCCCTGGGAACCTTTCTGCTCTTTGGGGCGGAGGGAGCATATAGAGTAGGGAGAGACAAGGATCTGGGGTGGGGGTCTAAAACAGTGCTTTGGAGCTACTGCCATGGGTAGCTGTTTCCTCTTTCTGGGCCTCTTCATCTGTAGAATAAGTAAGTGCACTGAGCTGGGCTGTGTCGTGCATCCCTGCCTCTTGAGGCCTCTGCCATCAAAAGCTTTCGATGCTCAGTAGATAAGGGGATTGCTGCCAAGCAGGGTGACCTGAGCTTCGTCCCTGGAGTCCACATGGAAAAAGAGAACCCACTCCTGAAAATTCATTTTCTGATCTCCACATGTGCACTAGAGCACTGTGTGGCACACACACACACACACACACACACACACACACACACACACACACACGCAAAGGCTTGAAAAAAAGACCGCTTTGTGAACAAAGTTCATCTTCTGCCTGGCTGTACCCTATCCGCTAGGGCCCTTAAAACTTTCCAAACACATACTCCAGATGCTCTCTGTCACAGTTGAGTGTGGGGTACAGCCAGACCCAGGGCTCCTGCCTCCCTTGCCCAGTCCCTTCCAGGGCCCATGGGATAGACTCTGACCTTAGTCACTCCACCTTCCCTCTCTCCCCCAGGCCTCACCTGCCCCAGATCCCGGCTCTCCCCATGATAAGGAGGAGATACCAGGATTTGCTGGAAACCGCCTACAGGCAGAACCATGTCAACCCAGGTGTCAGGCCCTCCCTGAGCTGCCAGCGGCTCTGACTCTGGGTACAGCCACGCCTCCCAGGACCCTGGAACACACACCCCTGCTGCTGGAGCTGCAGAAGCTGCCAGGATTGGCCAACACAGACTTGAGTGCCCCGAACCCCAATATCCAGGTGAGACTGTAGAGGAGGTGTTTGTCTAGGGGATCTCTGGAGAGGTGCTAGGCTGATGACTGAACCTCATTCTTATCCCTCTGCGGCTGTGTAAAGACAGTGGACTCCTCATGCAGTGTGGGAAGAGTATTTGCCCATCTCCTCGCCAGAAAGTCTCTTGGCTCCTGAGCCTTGACCCTGGATGTAGCAAGAGACAAATCCAGCACCCTGGTAGGGCTATCTTAAGGACTGAGTACGCGGACACCCTGCCCCTGATACTGCCGAGGGTCCTGGAATGTGGTGGAGACCTGCTGGAATGACCTACAGGTGTGACCCCCTCTTGACCCCAAAACCCTACTGCATGCAGAAGAGGGGTTCAGTTGGGAATGGGGGGGGTGGTGGTTCTGGAGCATGGGAAAGCCCTCAGAAGGGTGTTTCAAGGAAGCCAGGCAGAAGTGGAGCGGTGTCCTTTACTACCTATCCTGAATCTTCAAGAACAGCACATTTGCTGTTTGTGGAGCAGAATACTTTGACCAAAAGAAAGAAAGACTGCTTAAAAGTGCAGACCGTTCTACAGTTATTTTAAGTCTGTCTGTCTACCTGTATTAAAATAACATGTACACACAAAAATTACAAGTGTCCCGGCTAGTGATGTAATGCAGGTGATACTTTTGTTTGTCAAGACAGTCTCTCTATGTAGTCCTGGCTGTCCTGGAACTCATTCTGTAGACCAGCTGGCCTCGAACTCAGAGATCTGCTTGCCTCTGCTTCCCAGGTGCTGGGATTAAAGGCGTGCGCCACCACATCTGGCTCATTTTCTTCTTTGTATTTTACTGTTTTTCCCCCAAAGTTTGTTCTGTGACCTTCTATTATTTGAAAGTACCTGAGAATAATGTTTTTTGTTTGTTTGTTTGTTTGTTTTTCGAGACAGGTTTTCTGTGTAGCTTTGCGCCTTTCCTGGAACTCACTTTGTAGACTAGGCTGGCCTCGAACTCACAAAGATCCACCTGGTTCTGCCTCCCGAGTGCTGGGACTAAAGGCGTGCGCCACCACCGCCCGGCTGAGAATAATGTTTTTAAAGTTCACATTCACGGCGGTGGCTAGGTTTTTATTTTATTTTGTTTAATTTGCATGGTTGGTACAGTTGGGACACTGTACCAACAGAGGGTACTGTGGGGGATCTGACACATGTCGTCTCATCCTCAGCCCTGCTCTAGGCTTTGTTTGGTCCCTGAGGCCAGGCAGCCCATGTGTGGTAGAGGCAGAATTCTAAACAGCTTCTCCTAAACTGGTGGGCGTGGCACCTGCTGGATCCACCCCAGTTCGTCTACATCCAGGTGATTCTGACACAGAGGAGGTCCTATCCAAAGCCCTTTGTTCCCTGAGAGGCCAAGATAAGGCAGGCAAGATAGCGGACTCCCTGGCAAGACGGGCCTTGGCGTCTGGTTCAAACTCATCTTCTCTTTGGGGTCCTTTGCTGAGCCTGCCTGGCTGGCTCACGCCCGTCCTTCCCACAGGTGACCATCGAGGTGGTGCAGGACCCCCAGGCCGAGGTAGAGATGGACCTGCCTTCCGAACCCAGCAGTGTCTGGCCCCCTGCGCGCCCCCAGCTGGTGGCCCACCAGGGAGCTCTTCTGGCCCCTCTTCTGGGGCTACCAGGAAGGTGAAGAAGGAGACACCGGCCTCCAAGACACAGCCCCCGGGGAAGTGGAGGAGGAGGAAGAAGAAAAGGGCTATGCTGCAGAGTATGGTGATGGTGAGAACCAGGAGGGCAGTGAAGAGGAGGAGGAGGAGGAGGAGCCTTGGTCCAGTGGGGCCACAGACAACTGGGACTATGGCTGGTTGGGTCCTCGGGACCGGGACTTCACGGAGCCAGACAGCTATGGTGAGTGGGCCTGGCTTGGCATCCTCAGCTATTGCCCTACAAGGTCCTGAGTGGGAATGGGTTGGAGGGGGAGAGGGAGGAGGAGGAGGAGGAGGAGGAGAGCTTCCCAGGCCAGGAGACCTGGGCAGGCCCGCAGCCTGGACCTCTGCAGTTACTCTTGAAAGCTCCAACATAACAGTGCTAGAATTAAATTTTTTCCCTCCAACACTTGACTTGCACAACAGTCCTGAGCTCCTCTAGGCAAAAGCTACTTCATAGCATAAATACTCATATTTGTCAGTTTCAAAAAAAAATACTGAAAAATACTCTGTTTTACCACTCACAAGGAATCTCATTTTGAGATTGTGAGTTTGACGTCCGACCCTGCTGGTTAGCAGCCGAGTGTTCCCAGGCAAGTCACGTCACCCCCGCTGGGTCTCAGTTCTGTCCCCTCTGAAAGAGTAATCCTGTATCTAAATGACGTGGGGTTGGGTGTATACCCAAGCTTCTACATAGTCGGGTAGAGTGATACACAGCCCCAGCCTCAGCACTCAGGACGCTGAGGCAGGAGACTGGAGTTAGAGGCAAGCCTGGGCTATGTAGCGAGTTCCAGGCCTGCCTGAACTCCCTTGAGACCTTGCCTCAAAAAATAAAACAGCTGTTGAGATGACTCAAGGGCTGAAGGGCCTGAAATGCAAGTATGAGGACCAGGGTTCAAATATTTTTTTACTTTATGTGCATTGGTGTTTTACCTACACGTATGTATGTCTGTGTGAGGGTGTCGGGGGTCCCCTGGAACTGGAGCCACAGACAGTTGTGAGCTGCCATATGGGTGCTGGGAATTGAACCCGGGTCCTCTCGAAGAGCAGATGGTGCTCTTACCCTCTGAGCCATCTCTCCAGCCCCAGAGTTCAACTCCTATGGAGAAAAAAAGCCAGGCAATGGAGGCGCACGCCTTTAATCCCAGCCCTTGGGGAGGCAGAGGCAGCTGGATCTCTGTGAGTTCAAGGGCAGCCAGGTCTACAGAGTGAGTTCCAGTACAGCCAGAGCTATTACACAGAGAAACCCTGTCTCAAAAAAACAAAAAGCCAGTTGAGTGGCAGGCCCCCCCCCCCCCCCCCCCCCCCCCCCCCCGTATTCCCAGCAGACAGAGGCAGAGACGGGCAATCCCCAGAGTTAGCTGACTGGCCACAGTAGCTGTGTGGCCAGCTCTGGGTTTAGCAAGGGGCCCTGTGTCAATGTGTGTAAGGTAGAAAGCTATCATAAGAAGATACCCCATTTCAACCTTGGGCCCACCCACAGAGGCACACACGTACCCCCCCCCCCCCAAACCGTGTGTCCCTCCACATCTGTGAACACACAGGCACTCATACCACGCACATACACACGCCAAAAATATGCACATAAAGTGTCAGCAAGCGATAAAGAGCTTCCTGGCTCTCCTTATCCCTCCCGCTGGGATGGCCATTTGTACTTTTCCTGTCGGCGGACTTCCCATTGCCTCTGAGTCCATAGTCTCGCTCACTCTGCCGGAAGCCCCGAGGTCTTGTTATCGGACTGCTGTGGTGCCAAGGGATTAGGACTTAAGTCCTGACAAGCTCTTCCCAGTTTCCTAAACTGATGTAAACAGACCTTTCAGGAGTCTCAGCTTTTCTCCCATTCACTGTCCTCCAACTGCTGGCGCCAGCTGGCCTGAGGCCTGCCGTGGAAGCCAGGGAGAACCAGTGCGCCAGACCTGCGGGGCTCCACACGCAGACTCAGAGGACAGGCCTGCCTGGGCCCCCGTGTTTGTGCTCTCTAGAGAAAGAAGGGGAGCCAGGGGAATCTTTAATAATCCCAGACCTAGGAGAGTATTGCTGTCCTTGACTTTTCCGACTCTGACTTCTCTTTGTTATTATTTGAGACCGAGTAGCCTGAGGCCCCGGGCTGGCTTCAAACTTAATATATAGTCAGGGGTGATCTTGAATTTCTCATCCTCCTTCTTCCGTGTCCCCACTGCCGAGATGGCAGGCACTCACCACCACACCTGGTGCTGGGGGTGGAACCCAGGGCTTTTGTGCATGCTAGATAAGAACTATTTATTTATTATGTATACAGTGTTCTGCTTGCATGTATGTCTGCAGGCCAGACAAGGGCACCAGATCTCATTATGTATGGTTGTGAGCCACCGTGTGGTTGCTGGGAGTTGAACTCAGGACCTCTGGAAGAGCAGTCAGTGCTCTTAACCTCTGAGCCATCTCTCCAGCCCGCTTCCTTGCTTTTGATGGACATAAAATCACTAGCTCAGAAATAGAAGGGACTTGCCTACGGTTACACTGATAGCAGGCTGGTGGCTTCTAGTCCCAAGGATCCCTGTGTTGACACAGTGTGTGGTTAGAATTTGTTCTGTCTCCGTAGGACCTCCTAATGCATTTGCACAGGCTGTTTGTTCACGGTGCAAGGACGTGAGGGGATGGGTGGGGCTGGAATCCAATCATGCTCCATACATTGGCCAGGGATAAAGGGGCGCCTTTTGCTAATCGGCACGAGCGTGCCCTGGGAGTTGAGTACACTCATCCTGGTCCTTTCCTTCCACCCAGACTATGAGCCTCAGGAGGAGTGGAGCTCCTGGTCCCCCTGCAGTGGGAGCTGCCGCAGCGGCAGCCAGCAAAGAACTCGGCCCTGCGGCTACGCCTGTACTGCCACCGAGTCCCGGGCCTGCGACCTGGCCCCCTGTCCTGGTGAGATGAGCTCCAGCCCCTGCCCGAGAGAGTGGCTAGTGCAGCTCACACCGTGAGCTGGCTTCCCTGAGAATGTGAACACGGGATGTGTGGAGGAAGGGGTGGGCTTCGGAGCCGGGCACGGGAAGCTCACGCATATGGTGGTCCTGTCCCAGGCCTGTCCCAGATGCTGTGGGCACCGAGAACCTAGTGAGGGCTGGGCTCCCCTATCTATCGGGAGCACAGAGGTGCCCTGGGGCGCCACCAGCCTGGCCTCCTCTCTTCCCAAAGGCACCGAAGACGAGCACACCTTGGGCTTTCCCAGTGAGGGGTGGCAGCCCCTAGCCCACAATGCTACGGATATGCTTGATCCAGGTTAGTGGGGGAGGGGGGCTAGACCTTGCTGCTGGGTCTCGGGGAGCCTCCCTCTTGGGAGGGCGGAGCATCACTGTGTAGCTGGAGTCACTGAACACACCTTCCTACGATTGTAGGGAGAGATTGTAACCAAGTATCCTTGCCTACCTCCAGGTTCCCACCAGGGAGTGGGGCTCTATGGGAACTCCAGAGCTGGGGGATGCTGGGGGGAAGGGGGAGAGGGGGCTTCTGCTTCTACACCTTGGTTATTCTTTGGAGGCCCCTGGCAGACTCTGTCTAGGGAGGCACCTGTCAGGCTGAGCCAGGGTTCCAACGTCCAGGGATGCTCCATGAGAGCAGGGGGACACAGGCCGTGCTTTGGCAGCACACTCCCTGTTGGTGTTCCTGGGCCTCACCTGCACCCCCAAAGGCGTGGCTCATGAGTCTAAATTCTACAAAGTGACATGGAAGCTTCCCGAATTTGTGTCATGTACCTGGGCCTACACTAAGGCTGAGCCTTCCTGGAGGAGGCCTGGCATCTGTCCTCAGAGAGGTCAGGTCTCCCCGGGGACAGGTGTCCTGCATGAGCACAGCACTACAAAGTGCAGCGTGAAGGTCTGAGAGCCGCGAGGAAAGGGTCCCTTTGTCTGTGTGGCCAGACTCTGAGGTTCCATTTTGCCAGGGAGAGAGGGGAGGAGTCAGCGGATATCCGGGGCCACAGGAAGCTCCCAACAGCTGAGCAACTCACCAAGGGCCCATGCCCTAAGAAAGGCAGTTAAGAATGAATCAGCTGGGGGGACTTGAGAGATGGCTCAGTGGTTGAGAACACTGAGTACTCTTCCAGAGGACCCGGTTCAATTCCCAGCACCCACATGGCAGCTACCAGCTGTCTGTAACTCTAAGATCTGACATCTTATCAGATGTGATATCACACAGACATACATGCAGGCAGAACATCAGTGCACATAAAATAAGAATAAATAAATTATTTTTTTAAAAATTAATCAACTGGGTGGTGGTGGCGGCACATACCTTTAATCCCAGCACTCGGGAGGCAGAGGCTGGCAGATCTCTGAGTCTGAGGCCAGCCTGGTCTACAGAGTGAGTTCCAGGGTAGTCAGGGCAACAAGGAGAAACTCTGTCTGGGAAAATAACAACAAGAAACAAATGAAGAAGGAGAAAGAGAAGGAGGAGGAGGAGGAGGAGGAGGAGGAGAATTTTTGATCAGCAGATGGAAGCAAGTAGATTAGTTCAAGGGTAGCCTTGGCTACATGAGACCTTGTTTCCTTTAGGAAGGAAGAATGAAAGGAAGGAAAGAGGGAAGGAAGGAAGGAAGGGGGGGAGGGGAGGAGGAGGAGCGCAGACTAGTCAAAACATTGAAATGTTTTTTGATTAAAAAATTGTTGTCCCAAGCAAGTTCCAGATCAGCCAGGGCTGTTACACAGAGAAGACCTGTTTCAAACAAATAGACAAAAAAAAAAAACCCTGTTGCCTTTTTGAGCCGGAGAAATGACTGAACTGTTAAGAGCACTGGCTGTTCTTCTAGAGGACCAAGGTTCCATTTCCAGCACCCACATGGGGGCTTCAGTCTCAGAGCAATCTGACATACTCTCTCGTCCTCCATGGGTTCTGCGCATACGTGATACATAGACATACGTGTGGGCAAACACCCATGCACATAAAACGAAAAATGAAAAGCAAAGCAAAGCTGTCATCCTACGCTGGAGATGTAGCTCAGTTGATGGAAAGCTTGCCTCCCACTCATGGAGCCTGGGTTCAGTCCCAGCAGGGAATAAACTGGGCATGGCAGTGGATGCCAGCAAGCTTAGCACTTGGGAGATGGACGCGGGAGGATCAGAAGTTCGAAGTCACCCTCAGCTACATCGCGCGTTTGAGGCCAGCTTAGAATCTGACACCCTGCCTTGTAGGACAAAAACAGCAAAAAAAAAAAAACAAAAAACAAAAAAACAAAAAACCTTGTCCCTGTCACATTCCCACTTATCCCAACCCCCTTCCATGATCCCAAGATCTTTTCCCACAGCCCAGAACCTAAAGAGATGATGCCAGTGTCCCACAGAGGGCTGCCAGCCCAAAGCTAAGGTCTCTTCTGAGACATAGCTTCCTGCTTCAGGTGCCCGGATGGTGTGGGGTGTCCCTTTTCTGCGCTTATATCTTTCTTGAGTCCTACTTCTGACCCAGAGGCCCTCCTGAGCCATGCCTTTGCCCCAGCGGGGGGCTTGGACTTTCTTCTCCACGTGACTGACCTTGATCAGCCTCCTCCCTACCATGGGGCCCGGCAGGCAACTCTGATCAGCCCTCTCCTGTGCCTCCTTACCCTCTGCAGACGTGGACAGCTGTGAGAAGTGGCTGAACTGCAAGAGTGACTTCCTAGCTAGGTACCTGAGCCAAGTACTCCAGGACCTGCCCAGTTGCCCCTGCGCGTACCCGCTGGAGGCTGTGTACAGTGCCGTGAGCCTGAGGGATGAGCATCAGGGGCGCAGCTTCCAGTGGCGGGATGCCAGCGGCCCACGGGAGCGCCTGGACATCTACCAGCCCACAGCCCGCTTCTGCCTTCGCTCCATGCTGTCGGGGGAGAGCAGCACCCTGGCCGCCCAGCACTGCTGCTATGACGAAGGCAGTCGGCTGCTGACCCGAGGCAAGGGGGCTGGAGCTCCGGACCTCGTCAGCACCGACTTCTCACCTGAGCTGCACTTCAAGGTAGATAGGTTGCCCTGGATCCTGTGCAAGGGGGACTGGAGTCGCTACCACACCGTGCGTCCCCCCAACAATGGCCGGGCCTGCGCAGACAACCCGCCCGAGGAAGAGTACCTGGCCCAGCTGCAGGAAGCCAAAGAGTACTGAAGAGGGATTAGAGAATGGTCCTTCTGCCCCGCCCTGCCCCTGCTGGGCACCGGGCAAGTGTTAGGGTTCATCTGAGAGGCCCTCTGGCGGGCATACCCCCTCTTGTGACCCTGAGTCAGGAGAGCCCAGGTATCTCAAGGATTGGCGAGAAAGTTGGAGGGTGTGTGAGGGAATGCCTCTGTGCCTGAAGGGGAGGAGCTGTCCCAGTCTGGCCCGGGCGCTTTCCCCTTTCTTGCAGAACAGGGCCCTTCTGCCTCTCCCTCTGCTCAGGATTGAGACAGGATGCTCCCGATGCGCCCAAGTTCCCAGGATCTGCTGTGAATCCCTCAGACCCCCCCCCACCCTATGGCCCGTTGAGGCAGAGCATGGGGGGCAGGGGGGACACACAGTCCTTTCATCTGACCCTACAGCTGCTCTCTGCTGGCCTAGCAGAACCAGGGTGACCACCCCTCCTTGTCTATGGGTGGCGGGTGGCGCACAGCCTCTTGTGCCTCGTCCCGTGGTCCCGTGCTGTGAGGTCACAGGAGCTTGAGAGGACAGCTGAGCCGAGGCGGGCGTTGATTCGAGGCAGGGAACCACCAGCTGTTTCCGGTCATTCTCCTTGGTTCGGTCGGTCCCCAGAAGGAAGGAATGTGCAGGATGCCACTGCCATGGCAGCCAGACATGGGGTGGGCTCAGAACTAGGGGTGGGCTCAGGAGGGTGTCATGTGCCTGTCGTAGCAGTCCCAGTGTTCGGTGTGTGGTGTCAGTACCCACAGCAGCGGCCCACCTGAAGAAAGCTCCCTCATGGCGCCACCCGAAGCACAGGAATTGGCCTTGGGGTCCGGAGATGTGCCCTTTGGCTCCCAACACACCTGTGTCTCTTCCCAGGCTCTTCTCATCCCCCCAACCCGCACTTCTTTGTCTTCTCTGGAGCTGAAATGTTTGAAGCCCCAATATTTTTGTCTCCATTCACAAATCCCCCCAAAAGGACTTGGCAGGGGCTTGAGTTCCAGCCCCCTCCACAGCTGTCTGGAAGCTGCCCTAGGACCCTCGGCAGTAAAGCACTTTATTTCCACACACTGTTTGAGAAAGGATTTGGGGTCTGGAAGAAGGGAGGGTGTGGAGGCCCTTGCTTATCGCCCAGGTCAAACTCCTCTTGGCTGGGCTTGCGATAACCAAGCCAACTCCTTTTCCTAAAGCAGCTGCCCTTGGGGCTTCCTGAATGCAGGGACCAGACTCTCGCCATTAGTTATGCCTGCTCACACCCAGAGCAGGCCGCCTTTGAGCCTGTCTAGCAGCTGGCTAGACCCACAGGCCCAGAACTCCAAATCTGCGATGCACAGGTAAACCGCATTTACTCTGCAGGGAAGTGGCACCTCTTTTCTCCAAGAGATTAGCTTGGAGGGGACCAGCCTGACATGAGAGGTGCATCTGTACTTTCCCGTAGCCTGTACCCTTATCAGACACCCAACTGTCATCCCTAACATTTCGGGGAAAGGCAGAGTTATGGCAGGGTATATCTTTGTCTGGGTCCAAACATCAATCTAAATATGTTCCGGTGCAAGTAGAATATTAGTGGGTCGGAACAGAGGGTCTCAGGTCATCAGGTAGGAGCCAGGTTCCCTCCTCTCTGTTCCCTAAGGAGTTCAGTGCGTGTCTATAATCCTAGCCCTTGGGAGGCTGAGACAGGAAGATTATGAGGGTTGTTGTTGTTGTTGTTTGGTTATTTTTGTTTCTTTATTTGGTTTTTGAGACAGGGTTTCTCTGTGTAGCCCTGGCTCTTCTGCAACTCACTCTGTAGACCATGCAGGCCTCAAACTCAAGCGATCCACTGCCTCTGCCTCCCGAGTGCTGGGATTAATGGTGTGTGCTGCCACCGCCCGGCTGGGTTGTGGATTTTAAACCATCTCCCTGTCTATACATCAAAGTAACTTACCAACGTGAATGGATTCAGGAGGTAGAGATATTAGTTCCTCGTGTTCTAATAAAATTGCCCTTGGGGACCAAGAACAAGTTCACCACGGAGAAGGTAGACATTACTGTTGGTCATTTAAGAGCCTGAAGGGGCAGCCGGGCAGGATGTGTCTGTGCTGAGAGGACCCCTCTCCACTCTGCCCATGGTCCTTCTGCAGGAAAGTGATTGACAGGCTTGGAAATGCTGGGAGCAGGCTCAAGGGGAGCAGGGGAGCCGAAAATACTGGTGGCCAGGAGTGCATCTTGGGTTACCTATCGAGACTTGGTCCCCCCAAAAAACAAAACAATAGATCCTGGGGATGTAGCTCAATGGTAGAGCACCTGCCTAGCATGCATGAAAACCCTGGATTCAAGCCCCGGTAACACATCCACAGAGCACAAGACTATTTTGTTTGTGTCCGACCAGGGTCTTTCTGGCTTGTCCAGACTGGCCGCCTGAGCGCAAGTGATCTGCCTCTTCCAGCTTCTGTATAGCTGGGGCTACAGGCATGGTCTGTCACCTTCTGTTCCTTTTAATTATGTTTTAGCAGAAACTTTAAAAAAACAAAACCCAAACATCCCAGCGTCTCTCCATAGGCACTGCCCATTCAGCTCCTTTCTAGTAGAATTTTTATCTTGGCACTTTAAATATCATCCAAATCTAATCAATGCCCAGGGGTTGTCTAGTGGACTCTAAATGCCACGCTAAATTGCTTCCACGTCAAGCCCCAGGTGAGAGAAACCTGAAGAAAGGAAAGAGAGGTTACCGGGAGCGAGGCTTGCAGGGGGAGTAGCCGATCCGCTGTGAATGAAGTGTTTATTCAAGCTGTGCTAAGGAGAAAGAGACCCTGTGCAGGTGAATGCGGGCTTACGGAACACCTGTGCAGGGGGACAAGCACCAATGACGGGGTGTGTGTGTCACTGAACCTATGAAAGGGAAGGTTTAGGAGTGGCTAGTGTCAGACCCAGGAGGCCTTGAAATCAGAGAAGGCTCTTCCTCTTCAGCTCAGCCTCACGTCGCACACCTTTCTGACTCGCCAGCTGCGCGCCCAGCAAGAATACCAACCCCGTGAATACCGTCACCGTGGAGCCCCAGTCACCAAGCTGGTTTTGTTCCCTCTTCTCTCTCTGTTTTGCTTCACGCAGGCCCCTAGGCTAGGCAGGACAGATCAAGTTGAAAAGAGCCAGCAGCACAGACGTAGGATGCTTCAAAGCTTCCCAAAGATCGGATATGCCCCTTGCTTCCTCTACTACAGGTAGACTTTTTTTTTTCATGTTTGAAGTGCTTCTAAAAAGCTAACCCCGCCGGGCGGTAGTGGCACACGCCTTTAATCCCAGCACTCGGGAGGCAGAGCCAGGCGGATCTCTGTGAGTTCGAGGCCAGCCTGGGCTACCAAGTGAGTTCCAGGACAGGCGCAAAGCTACACAGAGAAACCCTGTCTCGAAAAACCAAAAAAAAAAAAAAAAAAAAAGAGCTAAACCCTGACAACTAGAGTGAGCTAAGACATGAAAATGCAAATGTGTGGGCCATGCATCGACACTTAGAAAGTAAAAATCTCTATAGAGGTGAAGTCTGAGATTCTGTGTTGAGCAGGGTTTTCCCAGGTGACCCTAAGGTATGGAAACCCATTGTTCTGGGGACGGCCATCTGAACTAAACCAGTATGTCATAGTATGTTTTGTTTGTTTGTTTTTGAGACAGGGTTTCTGTGAGTAGCCCTGGCTGTCCTGGAACTCACTCTATGGACTAGGCTGGCCTCAAACTCAAGAGTTCACCTGCCTCTGCCTCCCAAGTGCTGGGATTAAAGGCATGTGCCACCACCACCCAGCCCATAGTATCCATTTTGAGTTAAGGAAAAATAGCTGAGGTTGGTCGTGAGTCTAGAAGTCAGCAGACACTAGATGTTGCCAAGTGCATCCTTAGTTAGTTAGGTTTTAAAGACAGGGTCCCTTCTGTAGCCAGCTCAGGTTAACCTTAGGTACTTACTCTCTACGTAGACCTGTCTGGGACCAGTGTGACCAGTGTGGCCCTGGTATTGTGGTGATCCTTCGGCCTCTGCCTCCTGAGAGCTTCGATCATAGGTTCACACTATCATGCCCCACTCCATACCTTGCATGGTCTCACACGGTACCTGTTAACCCGTGTTATAGACATTTATAAACTAGGACATTGGCCTAGTCAGCTGGGAAGTGGAATATTCACTATTCAAAACAGGTCGGTGGTTTTCTTTTTCACCACGGGCATCTTGGGATCAGATGGCTGCTATTAGTGACACAGCAAGAGCTGACTGGGGATATGAAGCATGTCACCCGACAGGCACACTGCTGCATTCGGTTATATGAAGGTGGCGTCATCCCTTCCCATTTTTCTGCACTCTGAAACAGAGAGACAGAGGTGGCTCTGGTTTTTTGTGTTGTATTAGAAAGGGCTCATTGATTTAAGGTGGAGTCCAAGGTCTCTGTCAAGTCTTCTATGACCCTTGCAGGTGGATGGAATGCCAGATTAGATGCAGCATTAGTCTAGCGCTTATCTGCATAATTTAAGTCACGATGATCTGAACTGATCTTGCTTTAACTATAAAATTCTGCCAAGTCATGTAGGCTTAGCTTGCAGGGAGATGAGTAGCTGTCTTAACGGAGCGCTGATTCATGCTGGGGTGGGGGTAAGCCGGGGCAGGCTCGGCTAGGAGTTATTGATGCTCAGTTCACTTTTCCTGCCATGTGGACCCCACTGGAAAGGACTCCCACAGCACTTGGCCTGGAGCTCAGCACGAAAAGGACATGGATTCCTTCCTCCTTTTCAGGGTGGAATACTAAAAGGCCTGGGACTGTCTACTCCAGGAGGGAGAATACCATACGGGAGGTGCATCCGACTCTCTGTGGGGATGAACACGGCCAGGCAGCAGCTCCAAGGTTAGCACCAGCTCTGTGGTTATAGTCTGCGTTCTAAATGTCAGCCATGTTCAGCACTGGCTGTTGGATTTGGGCTCTTAACCTAAGAAGCCAGAGGCAAATATATAACATACATTAAAAGGATCACATGGCAGTAGGCTTCTGCAATTCCTGCATTCAGGAGGCCAAGTTCAAGGCCAGCCTGTTATATAGCAAGATCCTGCCTTAAAAACAAAACAAAACAAAAAAGAAACAAAGCAGAGGAAAAAGAAGTTCAGGGATTAAGTTTTATGAAATGGGTGACCGACCGGGTGTCCCAGGGCTTTATGGAGCTTAGACAGGCAATGGAAGCAGACTGTGAGGTCTGGGACACACAGCTCTCTATGAAGCCACCACTGGTCACCTCCATCTCTGTCACCAGCTGCACCGCTGCACCGCGGTCATCTCTTTGTGGAGGGGTCAGAGTCCAAGACCCATCTCCACCATCTTGTACTTCGTTAGTGCTGTTTATTCCAGAGTGCCAGCCCTCCCGTGTGCTAAGAAGGAAGTGTGAAAATAAACGAGCTCAAGAATCCTGCTGTCCCCCTCTACCCCCCAACAAAAAAAGATGGATCTCAGTGAGTTTGAGTCCAGCCTGGTCTACAAAGCAAGTTTCAGAACAGTTGGGAATGTTACACAGAGAAACCCTGTCTCGAAAAACCAAAAAAAAAAAAAAAAAAAAAAAAAAAAAAAAAAAAAGAATCCTGCTGTCATCAAGTCATCCTTTGCGCTTTTCAAATTTTTTTTTTTTTTTTTTGGTTTTTCAAGACAGGGTTTCTCTGTGTAGCTTTGCGCCTTTCCTGGAACTCACTTTGGAGACCAGGCTGGCCTCGAACTCACAATTTTTATTCTGTGTGTATGGGTGTCTTGCCTGTATTTTGTCTATGGAGATCACATACATGCAGGAGGCCAGAAGAGGGCATCAAATCCCTTAGAACTGGAGTGACAGGTGGTGGTGAGCTGTGTGGTGGGTGCTGGGAATTGAACCCCCATTCTTTGCAAAAGTAGCCAGTGCTCTTAACCACTGAGCCATTTCTCCAGCCCCACAACTGATAGGGTCTCCTATAGTCCAGGTTAGCCTTGAACTCCTAATCCTCCTGCTTCCCACTCCTGAACACTGGGATTAGAGGAGAGGCTTCAACCTTCATGTATTTGTTCAAATTCAAACTCTTCACGGAACACAACACTCGGCTCCCAGTCAACACAGATGGTAAGAAATGCATGCTTTTAAAATCTGTTTATTTAGCGTATGTACACATAAAAGAGAATCACCCTCAGACCCCACCCAGCAGAAAACATGCACAAACCCAAGGTATATGTGGAAGGGCGGGGCCCCAGCCCCAAGTTAGCAGTCGGGACGGTGCAATCCTGTGAGTCACAAACCCCTCATGAACGGGCTGGACTCAAGTGTCGAACAGGCTGGAACCCCTGCTGCTGGCCCTAAAACAAGCGAGCGCCATAGCCAAAGGTCTGTTTGATGCCCTCAAAGTAGTACCGCTGCCAGCCTTGTCGCGTCCGCTCTTCCTCAGGAGCAGGGATGCCCCGGCCTTCCATGCACAGCTCTGTCTCTCCGTTCTTGTCAAGGAAGGTCAAGGTGATGGTAGCAAAGTGCCCTATGGGAAGGAGGTTTTCAGACCCAGAGTTCCTGGACGAGTTTAAACCGGGGAGAGCAGTGTTGGGGATGACGGCAGCAAGCCTTACTCACCCTCTGGCCACGACTTGAACCTCCACTTCATAGCAATGTGTTTCTCAGGGACCTGGAACAATCAGGAGCTCGGTCTAGTGAGGGCCACAGTGCACCCAGCCCAGCCGGGCAAGTCACCTGCCTTTGTGTGTGTGACTGTGTCACTTGCAAGAAAACTCAAACACAGCACTGTTTGAAAAGTATCACAGAGGCCTGAAGTTTGGCCCAGAAAATGGAGACACACACGAATCTAACTGAGCGGAGGTGACAAGCTGGAAGAGGTAGGACTGACTCACCAGATCAGTGAACTCTCCAGTGACGTTGCCATCGACCATGTGAAACTTCCCACCTTTGTCTGCTTCTAAGGCCGCGGGAGCATGGGTAAAGGCCTGGACCAGCTGCAGGGAAGCAGGGATTGGGAGAAGATGCATGGCTCTCAACGGGACTCGGGCCAAGGGCAGTTCCTCAACTCTTCCCTGCAGATTTCCCTCTGCCCGGGAGGACGTTCTGGTCTCCCTCTGTTCTGGTCCTCTACAGACCAGGCTTGATCTCAGGAATTCTGAATCCTTGATGCTATTACTTCAGGCACATACTTTTTCTTTCCTTGTTTTCCTCCCTTCCAGTACACAAGTGCTGTATCACTGAGCCACCCCACCCCACCCCATTCACCCTTCTAACAGAATGCAGTGGCTCCTGCTGACATGCCCCCCAACTAGTACAAACAGAAAAAAATGTGAGTGTGTGTGAAAATGCCCTCCACCCCTGCTGGTGTGAGAGGCCTTCCCAGTCCACTTTGCAGCAGAGCCCTGCACGCTAGGGCCCTGGGGTGATGGCAAGCTCACTTACCTCCTGAGTGGTGAACACTCTATAGAGCTCCTCTGGTGACGTCAGGAAGGTCTCTCTAAGGGTGATCTTACAAGTGGGGATTTTGACACCAACAGGTTTGGCCTGGCTTTTTGAAGGAGCAGCCTTCGCCTAGGAAGGGGGTGAAAAGGGGTGACTTTAGAGCTGGTGAGATCCCAATCAACAGAGCTGCAGGGACAACTCATTCGCTCGCCCAGAAGCCTGCACCCCCAAAGCTAATTAGTCCAAGGGGTTAAAGGGAATTTGTGCATGTACATGTTTCCGTCACAGGAGAACTCTTCCAGAAACACCCTTACTGAGGACTTCCACTCTAGGATCTTTAAAAAGAGTGTACGTGTGTGTGAATGTATGCCACACGTGGTACCTGCATAGATCACTGGATTCCCTGAGAGCCATCTCCCCAGCCCCTCGGAAGTACAAGACCTCTTGTACTTATCACAAAACCCATCAGACAAAGGACAAGCCAATCTTAGGCATTTCAGAGCTCGGTGTAACTCTCCAACAGAACCATCCTGAAATAACTGGACAGGGGAGCTGAGGGCATAGCTCAGCAGCCTGAGATGTTCCACATATGCAAGGTCCTGGGATTCACCCCAGGACAAGAAAGGAAAGGAAGAGAGAGGTAAAGGACAGAAAGACAAAGACAAGAAAAGGAAGAGAGAAAAAGGGAAAGGAGAAAAAGCAAGCAGGCTGGATGCAGCGCTTTCTGGAGTGTTCTTCACTGTGCTTATTGACAAAAGGATGCAGGGCTCTAAACCAGGAGCTGAGTTGGGACCCCCAGGATCTGCTCTAGATAAAACATGCACTTGCTCCACAAGCAGAGTGAGATGAATGAGTTTCCTGTGGATGAAGGTAGCAGCCTAACCCTGGGACGAGATCCTCAACATCCAAGTACGAAATGCCAACTCCCCAGTTAGAAATGACGCTAAGAGGAGCTGACTGGTGCTATGTGCAATCAAAAGCCACACTTCACTGTCTCTGATGGCTTCTCTCTGCTCCAGGGGTCCACTATCAACCAATAAAGAACAGGTTAGGAGACTGGAGGGATGGTTCAGTGGTTAAGAACACTGCCTGTTCTGCAAAGGTCGCAGCGTCCATTCCCAGCACGTCCACTAGGTGGCTCACAACCGCCTGCAATCGCAGTTGAAGGAGATCTGACACCCCTCTCTGAAAGGCCTTCAAGGGCACTTGGTGAACATACAGACAAGTTCAGAAATAAAAATAAACATGTAAAAATAAAACTGTACCAGGTTACGACACTGAGAGCAAACTATATATTGCAGTCTCTCTAAGAAAGCACACACACGGGCTGCTCTGGCTGTGGAGTCGGGGACACAGAAAAGCCGATGTGGCACATGGCGGCGGCGGCGGTCACTCCTCTCCCTCTGCAGAAGGCGTACTGCGTCACCTGGGAACACTGCTTACCTTGCACACCTCGGTTTTTGGTGCTGGTTGACCCACCGGGTCTACGGACTCTCCATTCACGGTGGGCAAGATCATGCCCTGAGTGAACTCTGCAAAGACAAACGCCTCATTAATTTCTTAGCTGACACAGGACACGAGACAAACACAGCTGTCATAACTAGAATTAAGGAAAGGCCCGCATTCTCTCTCTCTCTCCCTTTAGTTTATGCCCAACAGATTATCTCAGTGTACAGAATACAGTAGCATTATCTTCAAAAGCTTAAACCCCTGACGACAATGGAAACACTACAACGTCTTTAGTCTCTACTATACAAGAGACTCACTAGTCACAACAATGGAGTCTCGTTTCTCACTAAAAATGATCAATTTCAAGGCTGGTCATAATATAAACTCCAACACCAAGATCAGAAGGATGTGGTAGAGGTGGAGTCCCCCAGGACATCTAGGCTAACCCCTCTGCTTCTAACCATGTCAACTTCCTGGAGGAGGAGGACCAGCAACAGTCCAGGATTACTTTAGATCGGAGCTGCTGATGGAAACGAGTATCTTACATATAATTTAAGATTTCCAGTAGTAACATGAAAGTTCATGTTCAAGGTGAAGTTTTACTAGTATATTTAACCTAATCATACTAGCTAATGTTACTCTAACATAACTATCGTTTCAATGGCTATCAATCTTTTTTTTTTTTTTTTTCTTTTTTTGGTTTTTCGACACAGGGTTTCTCTGTGTAGCTTTGGAGCCTATCCTGGAACTCACTCTGTAGCCCAGGCTGGCCTCGAACTCACAGAGATCCGCCTGCCTCTCTGCCTCCCTAGTGCTGGGACTAAAGGCTTGCACCACCACCGCCCAGCTCAATGGCTATCAATCTTTAAACTGAGATATTTTACACTGTTTTTTGGCACCGTCTCAAAATCCACTGTGTATTTCACACTCCCAGCACATCTCACTTGGGTTAGCCGGACAGCCAACTCCATTAGACAACACAGCTCAGGATCTTCCTCTAACTCGAAGCTTTTAGATCAACCTCCCCGCACCCCCCATCATTCCCCATCTGCCAGGGGAAGGGCAGTCCAGGCCCTCAGTCAAGGTCTGGCAGTGGAAGACAGCCTCCTCAGGCAGAGTTCTAAAAGGATACCTGTTTTGAGGGTGCTGATGTAAATCCCCACTGCTTCTCTTAGAAGTTTCACCCCTTCTTCCTTCATTAAGGCCACGAGATTTGTGTCAGGCTCGTCTTTGGCAAGGCTCACACTAATCTGAGTGGGAGATCAAAAGCAGGGGATAAAATGATTTAAGGAGCAATCAAGAAACGGCTGACATTTCCAAAGGAAAGGTGTGGAGCTGCCACATTTGTCCAATGCCCAACAATATTCCTTCTCAACTCCTCTCTGCCAGGGCAGAGATGGCTAATGTTACAACCCATTTCCCTGGCCAAAGCAGAGACACTGACTATGTACAAACTGCTCTGGAAGTTTCCAAAGGCACCACATAGCCTTAGACTCATCTCAGATTGGGCTTTAGAATGGTTAGCCTAAGCCTTGACTATGAACGGTGGGGGATGGCTGCTTTTCTCATCTGAGACTACTCAGACAGGGAGGACTCGGATAAGGAGTGAGGAAACACAAACCTCCACTTCATCCACACTGTTCTCATCAGACAAATTGGGGATTTCCACGTGTCCTTTGTATTGCACTCCTGACTTAGAGGTACCTGTCAAAAGCAATGCAATTCCATTAGCCTCCTCCTCTGCAGGGAAGGCCCTGCCAGGAACACTGTCCACTTAAAGCTTCTTTTAACCCCCATTCTAAGCTGCCCCTCTATCCTCAGAGAGTGCCAAATGCCAGAAGCAACCATCAGCACCCCAATGTCTTTTCTCACCCCATGGAAAGATCCAATGGGGCATTACAGCATGGCCCCCAGAGCTACACAAATCGGGTAGTAGCTCAGTTCTCCCAGAGCCTGTCGGGTAGCCACGAGCATCAATTCAGCTTGAACAGCTGTTCTGAAAACAAGCATTTATCCAATATGACTGATATGTTAGGGAACAATTGTTTATAGCTATTTCATATTTGCTTCTATGTGAGTTCATCATTGAGAAATAAGAAGTGAACAGAGAAAACTATAACCAGGTGAAGAGATGTACAGAAATAAATGAAAGTTCATATCTCAAAACATCTGTCAGGTAACGTGCCATTGGTGTGATGATCCTTCTGCCTCAGAAGACCTCCCTTCCAGGATCTCACAAGAGCCTTCAAGCTGCAATCCCTGTGATGCCCACGAACACAATGAAATTTCAATCAAAGAAAAACCATCCCGATTACAGTATACATGTACTTCATACTCATCACATGAATAAAACTCTACTAATTCTTAGTTTCTATAGTTTAAATGTGTGTGTGTGTACGCGGGCGCGTGTAAGCACACCTGTATGCAAGGGCCCTCAGAGGCCAGAGGCACCAGATCCCTCTGAAGTTGGAGTTCTAGACGGCTGTGAATTGCAGGATGTGGGTGCTGGGAACCAAACTCCAGTCTCTCCACCCCAATTTCTTCATTTTAAAATCGTGTCACTGATGATGGTTTTTTGAAGGTATGTTTCTTTCCCTTTCCCTTTAGAACTCACAGCCATTTTCCTACCTCAGCCTCCCAATTGGTTGGGACTACAGGCACATATCACCACATCGGATGGGTACTGTATTTCTTTTTTCTCCAGACAGCCCTGGCTGGCCTGGAACTCGCTCTGTAGACCAGACTGGCCGGGAACTCAAGAGGTCCGCCTGCCTCTGCCTCCTGAGTGCTGAGATTAAAGGTGTGCGCCACCACCGCCCATCAGGTACATATTCCCAATTCTATCCTCTCTATAAACCTTGTGGCTTCTTACTGCATGACTGTTGCACAGTGCACTGATTTTTAGGAACACACATTAATTATGACAAAACTGACTCTACATCCAAATAATACTTACTTATCAGCTACAATAGTACAGTGGTCTAACATGGTAAGATTCAAACTGGAGTTAGAAAGTGATTGAAGTGAAAAGAGAACAAACGAAAAACCCCTCCCTCTTAAATCATTCATAAGACACACATAAAATAAACTAGCCTGAGACTCTATCACCTTATGAATCCTAACACAGAACAAGGTCCAAAGATCCAGTGCCCCGTCACTTCACTGGTGGGAACCGATGAAACTCAGAGAGCAAATAAACACATTCGGTGTCCCCCAGCAGCACCCCAAACTGCTTTCCTCCCAAGCAGCACTGTCTCCTCCCTTCAAGGGTTTGTCACTGCTCAGAACCTGCTCTCCAGCAAGTGGAAGAGCGACAGACACGGGGCTAACCTCGTCTCTCACAGCCTGGCTGGTCCTTACCTGTCCAGTTGAGTTTGATGGTCCACTCATAGAAGAAGATAAGTTTGCCTTTCCGGTTGTTAATGGAAGCCTCTCCGTCAAGCTTGTTCACCTCCGTCACCTCACACTTGCCCTCCTCATTCTCTACTCGAACGGCCAGGAACAGAGTTTTCAGCTTCTCTGTGGACCAGTTGGAAGCATCCCTTTCTGTCCTGCAAAACAGAAGCAAAGATGGGTAGCCGTCATCGGGGTGGGGGTGGGGACCACGACGACGACACACTTCTCATGCCGCAAGGAAGTGCAAGGTTAAAGAAAGCAGAAAAGACCAATAACAACGAACCCTCTAAATTCTACCCCAGCGAGTCCACACACAGGCCATCTGGGGAAGCCAAAGGGCGGTGAGCTGTGGACAAAGGCAGGTGCTGTAACAAACCAGTGCTAAGTAAGTTGTTCTGGCAAGTCTCAGTCAGACGATCCTTGATTATTAACATGGCGCCCCCATCTGGCCAAGAGGAAAGCTGTGACCACACTGCTGAAGCCAGGAGAGCAAGCATTTCACTAAGAGCCCCAGTAAATAAAAAAAAAAAAAAAAAAAAAAAACACCCAACAATGCCAGCCTCATTAGCAGTGTTCTGACCCGTCTTATTCAGACTGCTTTAAATGCCCTAAACATTCTATGTCCTCCAAACAGTGTCACAAAGTCCACTGTGTAAGAGGGGACAGGGCCAGGAAAAAAAAAAGAGCGGAAAATCAATTCTTTGCCCGTCTATTAGAGCGATGTAGGCAAAAAGCAGCAGCAACTGAGTAAAACAAAAAAAGAAAAATAGTTTTGAGTAAAGTTCAGTTGCGCTCCAAACAACATTGCTTCTACGAGATTTCATAAAGATAAAGAAGCTTCTAAGAACAGCTAGGCTGTAAAATCATGACTGCCCGGCAACCTGGAGTTACAACAGAACTTAACAGTTCCGGGTGAGAGGCTGCATGCATCGCGTTCAGCATCCCGAAGCTCCAGGCGCCCTGCAGATCACGTTCCAAAGCGTCTCCCGCTGGACGGAGGCGGCAGTCCCCTATGACTTTTACTTTCACTGTAACCCACAGAACAGTAACCACCGCGCCTGGGGCTCCGAGACCTCCCCAGCAGTCTCCCCACACAATCGGCAGGGGTCTGGATCTCAAGGACGCCTGCGGCCACGTGTAGGAAGTATCTCCGGGCTCCAGCCTGGATGCAGCAACTAGGGCGCTCTGTTCTGTTCGCTCTGAGATTCCTCCTCTGGGACTCTGCGGTCTATGTCGAACCCCTCGCCCTCGCCAACACCGCACCGCGAGGGTGGCGAGGGATGGAGAGGACCCCGGCTGCAGGGAGGACCCACCGCCCAACCCCAGGGCAGGGCTGTTTGGGCCCCAGATCTGCACACGCCAAGGTCCCAGGCACCCCCAAACCCTAGCCTGGAAGCAGTGCTCCTGCGGCCTGTCTTGCTGGCCCTTACCAGTGCCAGTTGTTGACGTTGGTGGCGTCCGCCCGCTCCTCCACGATCCAGCGTGGGTCTCCCTCACCCCACTTGGCCATCAGCTCACTTATCGCACCGCTACCAGCTCCCAAGCAGCCGCAGCCACAGCCTCAGGACCGCTCGGTCCCAGCCGCCCGGCAGCGCCTGGAAACTACTAGAAGCGGCAGCAGCACCTCCTGGCTTGCTTTTCCCTCCACCCCCACCCCCTCCCCGCCTTAACTTCCGGCTCCTCCTCACTCCTACCGGGTACTTCCGTTCCGGCTCGCCGAACCGTAGGTTCTGTAACTTCTGGAGTTCCTTCAAAACTCTCTGTTTTATCTTAAAAGGTCTCTGAAGTCTAAGCCCTCAAACTACCAATCCTCACCGGTAGGGACACAAAATAGTCGTCTCATTGTTTCCTTGGGGGCCTAAAACGACCCTGCTGAGCCTGATGGGAGTTGTAGTCTTGTTAAACGATCCTTCCGATAACTGCGGAAGGTTACGCTGAAAGTAAAGGAAATGACCTGGCACGGTGCGCAAGCGTTTCTGGGAACGGTAGTCCAGAAGCCCCGCGGCCCATCGGGAGAGCGCAAAGATGACAGCAGCCACGGAACTGCAACTTCCAGGATGCTTTGCGGCTATCCCTTTAACCTTCTTCAGCCCCTCTCGCGACTGTCCCCTTCGGCCCCTTCTCTATGCCGCACAGCCTGTTTAGAAAGGCTGGTCCGGTGGCTGAGCCTGGCGCTGTCCTGAGAGGGAGGGCTCGGTGTGGAAGAGGTGAGGGTGTCCCAAGCCCCTGTCTGGGCCGCGTGTCTAGTTGAACCCACCCTTTCCGCATCCTTATTCTTTCCCTGTCTTTGAGGCATCCCTGCATTCTCACTCCTGACCTGATTCTTCTGGTCAGGACCATTCTTGGGAGTCAGTATGCTCGGAGCTGGAGTTTCCAGTGAGCATCGGCAGCTAGTTGAGAACGCAGCATTTAGTTCTGAACGAGCATGTCCTCTCCCAAGGGCTCTCCAGGCTCTGGTGTTTGCCGTGAACGTGTGACTTCCTGGACGTTCTTCTTGTAGCCTAGAAACATTGCCTTAAGAACCTAGCCTCGCTTCTAGTAGCTGGTTTCTACAGTGCCCCGAGACAAGGAGCGCCTTGGTTGTGGGGTTTTGGTTTTGTTTTTTTAACGGGTCCTGTTTTCCCTGTGTCATGTTTCTGTTTACCTTTCTTATCTGTCGCCCTACCCTTGTGGGCTCTCAAGTACAGGTGATGATAAGATCAAACCTCGGAAACATTTTAAACCACGTTCAAACACCCTTTCTAGTCACTCTGAACATTGTACGGGATTGATTTATGCCTTCTTAGAGTTATTAAATGTTATCACTTTGCTTGCCAAGTAAATCATAGTCTCTTTTGCCGATAGAAGTACAAGTTGATACAAGGTATCCATTGCCATAGTCTGGTTAAAGGTTCTAGAAATTCTCTCGTGGAATATTTGTTTTGTTAGGCACATTCTGTGCTTATTCGTATACTGTAAAGATCTACCGTACTTTTCCCAAAAGTGAAAAAAAAAAATGTAGAAGGGTCATGAAAGACAGTGTAGAAATAGTCTAGGGGCCAGAAAAACCTGGATTGTAGAGTGATTAGGCCTTGTCAGTGGGAATCTCCCAGGCCTACCTTTTAGGATTGTTCTAAGGCTAAGTGAATGACAGAGTTATTTATGAAATTGCACACATTCTAGAGACATGTATTTCTGCTATACACACACCTTCAATATTTATGGCCTGGTTTAGAATTTCTTTTAACTTTTAGAATTGCTTTTTAAATGTTTTTTACCCCCTTTTTGGAGGCTGGGAATTTAGCTCTGTGGTAGAGTGCTTGACTAAAATGTGTGAGGCCCAAAGTTCAATTCCCACCAGTGCAAAAAAAATAAACGAATTTCTCTAGTTTTAGCTAGGCAGTCAGTGATGGCACACACCTTTAATCCCAGGACTAGGGAGCCAGAGGCAGGCAGATGTCTGAGTTCGAGGCCAGCCTGGTCTATATAGCGAGCAAGTTCTAGGACAGCCAGGGCTACACAGAGAAACCCTGTCTCGAAAAGCAAACATCAAAAAAAATTCTCTAGTTTTATCTAAGGTACCATTTAAGATTAAGGAAGAAGAGCTAATGATGGACACATTAGCTTTCTGCCAGGCAGTAAGCACTTTGCATGTATTTTCTAATTTAGTCCTCATTCTTGTTAGACAGGCTACCTGCTATACCTTATAAGCATTATAAATAATATATAATATATATGCATTATATTTTACATGTCAATAAGGTATTGAATGCCTAAAAGGTTGTAAAGTTAAGTGTTTATGTTCTGCTAGGCATTTTTTTAGGTTTTTGGAATATTATTTATTTTTCACTATAAGCGAGTCAGGCAAGATAGCATTTCTCCAAGGCTTAGAAATCATTTACCTTTTGACTCTGAGATCCTGTAGCCATTCTTAGTTATTAGGTTAAACCACAGTTTCCACTCTTATCCAGGTTAGTTCGAAAAACTTGTTTTTGCAGAACAACACCTAGAATAGTTAGAAGTTATGAGAAGAATTTGGAATCTCTTGGCTAACCTTATATATTTTCTTCCCTTGGTCATGATCCCAAAAATTGACCGTATAATTGGCCAAGTGATTAATAAAATAATCATGAGTTGATGATACAGGCAAGATAATTCTGATTCTTTTAGTTGTTTTCCCTTCATTTATGGTAGTTACTTAAAGAGCGTACAGGGAGAGAGGGACATTTGTTGGCTGTGGTCAACTCTAGTGTTCCCAGAGCTTAGAAGAGTGTCTCAGGTTAATACATGAAGTCACTTTTTCTGTTTGGGGTGAGCTTTGGCTGATCTTTGTATGTTCTGCAAACTTATGACGAGTCTGTAGAGCATTTGCCTCTCTTACAACATCCCATTGGTTTGGATACCCTTGCTCTAACGTGATCCTTCGGGAGGAAGACCATGTCTTGCACTTTTTATAGCTCTTACAACACCTGAGAGTATTTGAACACAATAGGGGTTCTAGGAATGAATGTTTGTGTCTAATTGGAGTTTCTAACGTCATCTGATGAGTCTAACTTTTATGGCAGGTACTTTACCAGATTCTTTTCTACATCCTGTATTTCTGGGAGCAGTTAGTAGTGTAACACTTTTTAGAGAGTTCCAAAAGGGACCTGTGCCTGTCTTCCTTTCCCCGCCAGATGAACCGGACAAAGGGTGATGAGGAGGAATACTGGAACAGCTCCAAGTTCAAGGCTTTCACTTTTGATGATGAAGATGATGAACTCTCACAGGTAGGTGTCCACAGTGCTAAGAATCATAGTTTACTCTTGAATGCCTCTCGGAAATTTCTTCTCATCTTCAGTAGGCTCAGAATGTTATGGCTCATAATCTTCAGAAAAGCCTGTATGTTAGTCAGCTTCCTACCCTTACATGAAAGACTCAAGGTAATCAACTGATCCACAGAAAAAAAGCCTTATTTTGGCTCAGTTTTTAGGGTTCGAGATTATGATTGGTTGCTCTGAGCTTTGGACCTGGGGTAGGCAGCACATTGTGGTACAGTCACATGATAGAACAAAACTGCTTACCTCATAGCCAGAAAGTGGAGAGAAAAAGGACAGCATGGAGTCCCATAATCCCCTTTGAGAACACCCTTCAATGGCCCAAGGATCTCCTGCTGGGCTCCACTTCTCAGGCTCTACTGCCTCCTCATAGGGCTGCCCTGAAGTCCAAACTTGTAACATATAGGCCTTTGGGGGACCTTCAAAATCCAAACTATACAGTGGTCTGTGAGATGGCTCAGCTGGTCAAGGTGCTTGCCGTAAGTATGGTGACCTGAGTTTAGTCTCCAGAACCTACGCCTTACAGTTGTCTTGCTTAGTTAGGTTTCTGTTGCTGTGACAAATACAATGACCAAAAGGAACTTGGGGTGGCAGTGGCTGATTTCAACGTAGAACTCTGTGGTCACACTCTGTCACCGAGGGAAGTCAGGGCAGGAACCTGGAGGCAGGAACTGGAGCAGAGGAGTGCTGCTTACTGGCTTGCTTACCCTGCTCTCTTGTAGCACCCAGGACCTCCAGCCCAGGAGTGGCACTGCCCACAGACGAGTCTAGTGGGGTCATTTTCTCAACTGAGGGACATAAAACTAGCCAGCACCACCTGTCTTTCTTGTGAAGTGGAATGGGCACACCTTTACATACACATGATACAGGCATGCACACACACTAAGTTAAAATTAGAAACAGATACAAACTATGGCAGCCTTCATGAAGAGGAGACTTTAAAAAAGAGCCAGAAAGATTATAAAAGCTAACTTTATCCTTCTTGCTATTACCTTAAAACCACAGATTGTTTATTCAAGTGATTTAGTTGGTGAAGACCTTGAACTTCTGACCTTCCGGCCTCTGTCTCCTTTTTCACTTCTTTTCTTTTTGGTTCTTTTCGAGACAGAGTTTCTCTGTGTAACAGTGCTGGCCGTCCTGGATCTCACCCTGTAGATCAGGCTGGCCTTGAACTCACAGAGAGCCGCCTGCCTCTGCCTCCCTAGTGCTGGGACTAAAGGCCTGCGCCACCACCGCCTGCTCCTTTTTCATTTCTAAAGAATTTTTATTACGTGTATTCGTGTGTGAGGAGCACAGGAGTCACTGTTGGTGTGTGGAGGCCAGAGGACAGCGTGTAGGAGTCAGTTCCCTTCTTCCACCATGTGGGTCTTGAGAATTGAACTCAGATTATCAGGCTTGGTGGCAAATGTCCTTACTTTTGAGCCATCTTATAGGTTCCTGTTTCTTTTCATTTTCTCTCCTCTTTTTCACTCCATCTTTCTTTCACGGGGTCTCACCATATAACCCTAGCTGGCCTCATTCACAGAGATCTGCCAGCCTCTGTCTCTTGAGTGCTGGGATTAAAGGTGTGCTGCTGTATCCACCATACCCAGTTTTTTTTTAACTAAATTTTTTTTTCTTTTATTATAGCTGCCTCCATCTCACGAGTGCTGGGATTATAGGCATGTACCACCACACCCAGTGTCTATCATTGTTATTTTTGGTGATGGAATCTTGTGTGTTTCTCTGACTGATCACGAATTCTTGGGCTCAAGCCATCTTCCTGCTTTTGTCTCCCTGGAAGTTGGAACCAGAGGCGCACACCACTGCTCCTTGATAACTTGTTTTTGAAAAATGACCTGTCTGGGAATAGTCATTTTTGGAGAAGTGAGTAATATTCACTCAGATTTGCAGACAAGTTATAGAATATGATTAGAATTCGAAAGTGACTTTGAGTCTTCCGCCGACTGCAACAGTGTCTAGGTGGGATGTGGACTACAGGTACAATAGCTACAGATAGTTCTTGGCAATCACTGAGTCCCAGCTGCTCAGCCTTCTTGGTTTTCAGTGAGA